TTCAATACTATCTGCATATGCATTAATTAGTAATGAACTCGTTCCTTCATTTTCTATATGATCTAAGTATTTAACTTGTTGGTAAAATATATTGATAAACAGAGGGAATCTACCTAACTCACCCATCGTAGCTAAATTACTCGTTTTTCTATGCACCCCTAATAGAAACTTCAAAAAAGATAGATGTAGTAATTCCGGTGGAAGTGACTTGTCATATTTCATTTCAAGGCCAAAATCTTTATTTTTCAGAAGATCTTTATTAGTTATTAGACCAGCACCCCAGATTTCACATCCATATAATAAAATTGGTTTTACTAATATGTCAAATAATTTCAGGCACAAAGTTAGGTTAATATCACCATGTGTAAGCATACTTATCAATTTGAATTTCGCCTTTTCTGCTTTTTCTTTAATAAAGATTGCAGCTTGTTTCATCGATCCGTTGGCATGGAATTCCATACCCAAATAAGTATACTTTGATACGTTTTCAATTACCTGGTCCTCAATGTAGAATATATCATTACATCGTTTACCACTTTTATTAAACATTACAATTTTAGTTTTATCAGTATTGATATCTAAGTTCCATTGTTTACAATAATTGTTTAATTTTTTCAATTTTATGTCCATATCAGTTTTATTTGCAGTAATTATGGCTAAATCATCTGCAAATAGCAGGCAACTTATTTTTTGTTTTTGTAATTTTAAGTCTGATTCAAGTGATAATTCTTCAACAACATCATTGATGTAAATATTAAACATTAATGGACTGAGTGGGTCCCCCTGTTTAATCCCCCTCTCACATTTAAAGATATCAGTATGGTCACCGTTACTGTTGATTCTAACTGATGCATATCATATATGTATATATTACATATTTTAAAAATTATTAAGGTACAATATGGTTACCCCTGGTCATTCAGAATCAAAAAATGAAAATTTGAATTTTTTGGGAACTCCAATCTTTTTTGTACATCTAATTAGCAATAATATGACAAAACAAGACTAGAAGCACCATTCTGAGCTCATATGAGATGCATACATTGACTATCTTAAAAATTATTGAGGTAAGATAAGGTTACCCCTGAGCCAAATGCACCAAAAAATTGAAATTTCGATAATTTTTTTCTCTAAGAATACATCAGCTATCAAAGCAATATTTTTTATCTGTGATAAACACTTATACTTCTATTACTGTGAATTTTTTTAAGACTATTAGTCATCACATTCTTGAAATACAGTGATGGACGTCCCATATTTGGCCCTTTAAATAATGAATTTTTCCTGGATAATTGGGATAAAATGTATTTTCCTCACTAAATACCACTTCTAAAATGAGTTTTCCATCATTTCAAGGCTCAAAGCAATCACCAAATGAAGTCATTTAAACAAAAATACTTTAAAAACCATTTTTATTTATTTTTTATAATATACCCCCTCCCACCTGATAGGGGTGGGGGTCAGAGGTAAAAAAATCCATGAAGACCACCCCTAACCACTTGCCCTGAAATCATTTTCCACTCAAATCATATGTTTCTACAAATGTGCCAAGTTTGTTCCTTTCCTGAAAAAGCCGAACAAAAAAGGGGTTATATCCGGACATCTGACCCCGCTAACATGTAGTTGCTTAGATATGACCTTGAAAGCTTTGTTAATAACTGGTATGTAAGTTTTTACATGGTATTTTATGTAATGTTGACTGATTGACGACAATTTAATGCGAAAATTATTTAGAAATATTTTATATAACTGTTTTTGTTAACATTTTTTGTTTTTTAGTGCAATTGTTTTTGCTCCTTTCTACCAATTCATGAGAATGAAATAAAATGTCTTTCCGAACCTTGTTGGAACAAAATAGCATATACAACATGTTTTTAGACCTCTCAATATTAAAGTTATACAAAGGAATTTTTGGTTGATTTTAAAAAAGTATTCAAAAAATTAAAACAAAATAACAAGATACTTTTTTTAAATACACCAAAATTCCCTTTGTACAATTACAATATTAAGAGACCTAAACATGTTGTGTTTATGTCGTTTTGTTCCAATGAGGTTCGGAAAGATTTCATTTCACTCTGGAAACATGATACCAAGAACAAAACAAGTGTTTGATGTGTTTTATGAAACAATATAGATGAAGTATGTAGTTCTATTTCAAATTATATTGTTACTATTTAATAGATGGCCATTAAATTGACAATTTGTAAGATTTTCAGAAATTTTTGATGACTGGTTTAAGAGAAACGTGTGTTCAAAAAGTTCGCCATATCGATACCCATTCTTTCTTTCAACTCAATGTTATTTAATTTTGTAAAATGTGTGTAGCAATCAACATGTTAATTATAGATTGTTTGAGGAAGTAGAGGCAACATTGACAGGTGTATATCTAAGAAAAGGGGGTCCTATCAAACATAGGCTAGTTTAGGGTTAACTTTGTAGATTGCCGTTATATAAACTTTACAGCTGATACACAATTACATGAACTGTGGTTGGTAAAACTTCGGTGTATTTTAGATGATAAATAAATATTTCCCATACAATTTACACATGTTCCAACTTTTTCGACCATCCTGTATATTGAATATTCGAACATGACTGTATTCACGCCTTCTATAAACTGTGAACAAAGTCAATACTTCACTCGGTATTTATTCGTCGACACAATACCTGGTCTGTACTAAATGTTTCGTTTAGTGGATCGGAAGTAGATAAAATATTCCCAAACTTGCACGCATTGTTATGTAACATTATATATTTATTACTTAATATTATTTATATATTGTAATAAATTTAATAACAGGCGAAACACATGTTTTGTTTGTTTTGTGCAACAAAGCTTCGGTAAACATGTGCGTGTAATAAACATAAATATTAGTCTGGGGAGCAATTTTAACAGTTCACAGCACAGTAGGTTTTGTTGACGTTACCCCCCTATCACACCAAACTCGTTCTTACCCGTTCTTGCCAGTCCTACGAAAACGTTGTAAAACGGGCTCGATCTGGCTGTGGTCGGGAAATATGTCTGAAATAATTAGCTTCTTCGTTCTTAAACAGTCTTCAATACGTCCATCTCGTTCGCAGTTCGTTCAGGTCGCACCACGTCGGTGTGCAACGCCGTAGAACGCGCCCCTTAGTCTAGAAGGTCATCATGACCTGGTAACAGAACGGTATGGTCGCAATCGAATTTTGAATCGATTCAAAATTCTAAAATCACATTCCCGTCTGAGAACGTTCATAAAGTTCGTAAATAGACCTTAGAAAGTTGCAGCTACGTTCATTCCGTTCGCACATAGTTTAGAACCAGTTTTGAAGAACGCAGTGGCAACTTGTTTGGTGTGATAGCTTTATTTTTGCTAACTCGTTCATAAGCAGTGTTAAATACGTTCTTAATCAGTTTAAACCCGTTTGCAATGAGTTCTACCTCGTTCTCAACACGTCTTCAGACAGTTCAACTCGTTGTTAAAACGTCCCTAGTAGGATTGAAGTACGACGGTTCCGTTCGTAGTACGTCCAGCTCGTCGTTAGTACGCTGTCTCTCGTTCTAATTGTAGAACGTGACGACCACGAGAACATTTTGAGCATTGTCTAAGTTCTAGAGGACCTACCCGTTCGAGTACGTTCGATGAAGTTTGTAAATAGATCCCAAACGGTTCTTAGTACGTCCAGTCCGTTCGTACACAGTTGAAGCCCGTTTTCGAGAACGTAGTGAGAACTAGTTTGGTGTGATAGTAGGGTTAGTTTCCGTTTTGATTATAGTTCTATGACTGCTTGACATTTCTATCAAGTTATTAACATTCCATTTATGTTCAAAATAGTTCCCCTTACCTTCCACACATAGCTGGTGTCGTTCTACCCACTTGTTTGAAAATGATCTTAGTGGTGAGATCCACGCAATAAATCACGAGCTACAAAATGCCGTTCAATGCCCGCTGACAAATAACTTTCCAGATGGGTTTACAGAATATACTAGATTGGGTAGAACATCATGTCGATATATAAGTTTTGGGCCGATATAAAGATGGCAGGAGCAGAATGCTATTAATCTTTTAGAGAAATATAAATAAACACAGATCGATTACCATGACATTTTTATTAAAAAAATTCTATCGACCAAAGCCTAAGAATAAAACCCCCAAAATTTTAACGTTACCCCCCTATCACACCAAACTAGTTCTTACCCGTTCTTACCAGTCCTACGAAAACGTCGTAAAACGGGCTCAATCTGGCTGTGGTCGGGAAATATGTCTGAAATAATTAGCTTCTTCGTTCTAAAACAGTCTTCAATACGTCCATCTCGTTCGCAGTTCGTTCAGGTCGCACCACGACGCTGTGCAACGTAGTAGAACGCGTCCCTTAGTCTAGAAGGTCAACATGACCTGATTACAGAACGGTATGGTCGCCATCGAATTTTGAATCGATTCAAAATTCTAAAATCACATTCCCGTCTGAGAACGTTCATAAAGTTCGTAAATAGACCTTAGAAAGTTGCAGCTACGTTCATTCCGTTCGCACACAGTTTAAAACCAGTTTTGAAGAACGCAGTGGCAACTTGTTTGGTGTGATAGCTATATTTTTGCTAACTCGTTCACAAGCAGTGTTAAATACGTTCTTAATCAGTTTAAACCCGTTTGCAATTAGTTCTACCTCGTTCTCAACACGTCCTCAGACAGTTCAACTCGTTGTTAAAACGTCCCTAGTAGGATTGAAGTACGACGGTTCCGTTCGTAGCACGTTCAGCTCGTCGTTAGTACGTTGTCACTCGTTCTAATTGTAAAACGTGACAACCACGAGAACATTTTGAGCATTGTCTAAGTTCTAGAGGACCTACCCGTTCGAGTACGTTCGATGAAGTTTGTAAATAGATCCCAAACGGTTCTTAGTAGGTCCAGTCCGTTCGTACACAGTTGAAGCCCGATTTCGAGAACGTAGTGAGAACTAGTTTGGTGTGATAGTAGGGTTAGCTTGTTTTCGCGAATGCAATTTTCGGCTGTCGGCTATGAGATCAACCTACTATTTAATGGGCAACTCTTTTAAGTAGTACTTGCCACTATTCCATTCATATTTAAATGAGTTGACCATGTAGTAGGTTAAGCCGACAGACAAAAGTTGCATTCGTGAATACAAGTTTAGAAAGTTTGATCTCTTCTTAAAGGATATGTTTAAAACTTGCCATGCAAACATGTTAGTCTACTTTACTGGCCCCCCTTGCTGTAATAAGGAACCCAAAACACATTAAAACGTAAACATAAACCAATTAGTCACTTCACTATGAAAGTTAGGGGTGTTAGCAAAAATGTGTATTAGGCCATAAGAAGTAGGTTATTTGTTTTGCGTCATGGCAAAATCCAAATCATGCAAGGGTACAAGGAAAACAAACACAAACTTTTTTATGGGCATATAAAGGGATGACATGCCAATTTGCAGTGATTACAAACACATATCTATACATCCTATACAATATATTTAAGCATAGCTATTATTCAAGGGTACAAAATAAGAAATACACAATGTATGCTTAAGTAAAAATTAACACTGTCAATTTTGACGCACATCAAATGATCTGCCATTTCGTCCGATTCTGATTGAATAAAATGCGATGGTACTTTCAAACCCTTGTAATTGCTATTTTGATGTGTTTGTTTTTTCTAATTTACTCAAAATCGTGCAAGCAAGGGGACGCAAAACAGAGAATGTACTTCTATGGCCTTAGCAGAATATGCTTTGTGCATGGACTAACACAATATCAGTGGTCATTTACTGTGTCAACTTAGTAACCCTTGCATATCGTGCTCACTCAAGTATTGAATAATTTTTTATGATCTAAATGTTTGTGGTTTATAAAAAAATGTGATATATTTTAGTTAGAAATACATTGATTAACATATTCATTCAAACAGCACTAGAATGCGGGAAGAAAGAGCAATGGTGACAAAATGCAGACAGAATTTTCCGTAAGGGTTTCAAACATTTCTGACACAATCATACATGTACTTCATGTGTACTGTTATTTTTAGTGCTGTATTTATAGATATAATTTCACGTATTAAAATAATATTTTCCAGCAATGACTTAAAAATCGGAACCACACCCATATCACATTTTCTTCAATAACTCCAAACATGTGTAAACATTGACCATGTTCATATAAATTCAGATTTCACGAGCTCTTTCCTATTCGAGTACCTCATACACCCCTGCATGGATTTGAGTTGGATTCGCCTTTTATACGTGAGCCGATACACATCGCAAACGCTGATTGGATAAAGATTGCGAGAATCTTTAAGGTCAAGGTCGAAATTGTTCTTAAAATGGTCTTTATTATATTTTCACATTTTTGATTTATAAATGATGATTTGCACGCAAGAAAGTTGATTTAAAATGTGCACTGGATTGGCATCGTATATGTCATAATGGCTATGAAAGCTCCAGGGGCACTTTGGAATACTTATTATGACGTATCCTTTGGAATTTGGAAGTTTTCATTTGATAGCAGATACCCAAGTCTTAATTTTGTTCGTTAATTCCAAAATTGGGAAATTAACGACAGTTTTGATGATTTTGCCAACCATAAACTTTGATCATATCTTTTGAGCTCATTTGTTGTGATTTTTTTTAGATGACATTGTTTTATTCTAAAAACATCTCATCCATTTATAGCAGTCACTAGGGAAACAGTTTGTTGAAAGTTACGCCACATATTACTTCATAATTTCAAGACATATGGAGTCCATTGTGTGAATTACGTGATGTCTCAAGGCCAATCACATACCCCTAGTCAGTATTGTTACGCGGTAAACACGATACAAAAATATGTCATATTCCGCAACTTGCGGTGTATGCCAGATTCACCTGCGGTATATGGCATACACACTAACCAATGAGAACGTGATACGGAAGTACGCAATTGTCAATTGCATCGATTGAACGAATAAGTAAAATTTTATTAATTATGATAATGATTACTGAATCAACAGTACTGTGTATCAGTATATTAACTTAGCAGAAGTATCAGTCACCAATCTTACGATCTTACGTAATAAACTTAATTACTCAATCAATCCAGGATTCATATATTAGTACTCGACGCACTAACTATATTGGTAATCCAGCGTAGTTTTACATTTACAGTCGACTCTCGCAACCAATCAAATCAAAGCTTTCTGTATCACGTTTTCACCTGCGGTATATGTCATATTCACCTGCGGTGTATGGCATATTCCGCAAGTGAGTATGACATATTCCGCAGGTGAGTATGGGGTATTCACTGAAATCAATGTATCGCATATTCACTGCGGAATATCGCATACTCACTTGCGGAATATGCCATATACCGCAGGTGAGTATGGCATATTCACCCGTATCACAAATACCGCGCAACCATGAATATATGCCATATACCGCGTAACAAGTATACTCAGCTTTCTTATTAAAAACTGAGGCCTGAGCTTTCCTCACTGGACTTAAACACTAAATATATCAGCATGTACTTCTGTGTCTTGTAATGACTTAGTGTCAAAAATCAAAACGACATTTATTGCAGCACTGAGGTATCTGAATCGAACAAAGGCTGGTCGTTTCTGAATGTTTCCCTAGTAAAAACTCAAGTTATGCAAACTATGAATCTATCAGCTCAAATCATGTTTTATTAAGTTTCTTATACTCCCAAGTTATTTTCTCTGTTGGAGTTTCTTTAATTTTGTTTGTTTTTAAGATAAGCTTAATTATGTTTATATAACATCACAGCTCGGTTAGTTCTTAGATGTTTTGTATGGCTGATCAGTGTTATTGTTCGTGGAATGCCATATCCCGATTGCTCTGCTTCACAGTCTTCCAGCAGACAAACTGAACGTTGGTCTCTTGATAGAATACTGCAAAATAAATCAAAGTAATTATTTTGTACGTTATATACCCCTAAACTTGTTCTACGTTCGTGGAGATGCTGCCGAACGAAATTCAACTGTGTGTGCGTATCGAATTACAAACCAGAATGCACTTTAACACCACAAGAAAAGCAAAGGGGTTTTCAATTGGACGGTGTCATACTATTAGAAAATGATATATCCTTAAAATGATATATAATACATGACATGATTTAACATATATCATATTATATTCATCTTTAGAGTTGGATATTGTTAATTGTTGTATATACATTACAATATTACTGTTTATCCCATACTTGGACGTGTTACAGGTACATAAAGCAGGTTTGTAAAAACTTATATTTTCATCAGCGGGCAGATATAGCTGAACTATGGCTCGTTGAACAATGTGAACCAGATGACCAAGATTGGTATGAGATAAACAGATCATCCTATAGTCGTTTCAGGATATTGGGATTATCACTTGGCCAAAATAATATGTCTACCCTCGGGATCTGCGGCCCTCGGGCAGATATATTATATTAGCCTCGGGATAATCCCAATTTACTGAACCTCATATAGGATAATCTTTATATATGCATATCAATAATACTGTTCAGTTAGTATTGTTTTGAATATCTAGAACATGCTTGTAGATAGCTTAAATTTTCCATCACGCCTTGTAATTTCTTGATTGAATATTAATGAACAAAACTATATGTTCCTTATGTTCCTGTAATTACAAAATATGAAGAAGGAGATAATTATCCCTCGGTGTCATAGTATTACACGTGCATGCTCAAATACTCTATCAATTCTGAGAAAAGCATGTCAAGGTTTATGTTTCAGCTTACATCCTTATTTGTGTCGATACCATCAAGACGCGGGAAAATGTCGCCTTGTCCGTCTGCTCTGCTATCTTTGATATATTCGTCATTAGAGTAACCCTTGTTGTCATAGCCCCTCGACACCTGTTATGTGAATATAGTAGACACAATATATAATTTTTTATCATAACTTTCATTTTCCTTTATAATCAAAAATACACATAAAATCTTCCACCAATTGCTAATTAAAGATATTCTGGGTAGTCTGGGTAACGATTTAGAGGTTTAATTTTACAATTTATAATTGTCGCTATTGGTAGTAATTTGGGAGAGGTTGGAAGTGGGAGCACATTCATTCATACTAATACAATTTATTAATATTTGTGGCTATTTGTAGTAATTGGGAGAGGTTGGAAGTGGGAGCACATTCATTCATACTATACAATTTATTAATATTTGTGGCTATTTGTAGTAATTTGGGAGAGGTTGGAAGTGGGGGCACATTCATTCATACTATACAATTTATTAATATTTGTGGCTATTTGTAGTAATTTGGGAGAGGTTGGAAGTGGGAGTACATTCATTCATACTATAAATTTTTTTAATAATTGTGGCTATTTGTAGTAATTAGGGAGAGGTTGGAAGTGGGAGCACATTCATTCATACTTTAAAATCCATTAATATTTGTGGCTATTTGTAATAATTTGGGAGAGGTTGGAAGTGGGAGCACATTCATTCATACTATACAATTTATTAATATTTGTGGCTATTTGTAGTAATTGGGAGAGGTTCGAAGTGGGAGCATATTCATTCATACAATACAATTTATTAATATTTGTGGCTATTTGTAGTTATTCGGGAGAGGTTGGAAGTGGGGGCACATTCATTCATACTATAAAATCTTTTAACATTTGTGGCTATTTGTAGTAATTTGGGAGAGGTTGGAAGTGGGGGCACATTGATTCATACTTTAAAATCCATTAATATTTGTGGCTATTTGTAATAATTTGGGAGAGGTTGGAAGTGGGAGCACATTCATTCATACTATACAATTTATTAATATTTGTGGCTATTTGTAGTAACTTGGAAGAGGTTGGAAGTGGGGGCACATTCATTCATACTATACAATTTATTAATATTTGTGGCTATTGGTAGTAATTTGGGAGAGGTTGGAAGTGGAAGCACAATCATTCATACTATACAATTTATTAATATTTGTGGCTATTTGTAGTAATTTGGGAGAGGTTGGAAGTGGGAGCACATTCATTCATACTATAACATTTATTAATATTTGTGGCTATTTGTAGTAATTTTGGAGAGGTTGGAAGTGGGAGCACATTCATTCATACTATAACATTTATTAATATTTGTGGCTATTTGTAGAAATTTGGGATAGGTTGGAAATGGGAGCACATTCATTCATACTATACAATTTATTAATAATTGCGGTTATTGGTAGTAATTTGGGAGAGGTTGGAAGTGGGAGCACATTCATTCATACTATACAATTTATTAATAATTGCGGTTATTGGTAGTAATTTGGGAGAGGTTGGAAGTGGGAGCACATTCATTCATACTTTACAATTTATTAATATTTGTGGCTATTGGTAGTAATTTGGGAGAGGTTGGAAGTGGGAGCACATTCATTTATACTATACAATTTATTAATATTTGTGGCTATTGGTAGTAATTTGGGAGAGGTTCGAAGTGGGAGCACATTCATTCATGCTATACAATTTATTAATAATTGCGGTTATTGGTAGTAATTTGGGAGAGGTTGGAAGTGGGAGCACATTCATTCATACTATACAATTTATTAATAATTGCGGTTATTGGTAGTAATTTGGGAGAGGTTGGAAGTGGGAGCACATTCATTCATACTTTACAATTTATTAATATTTGTGGCTATTGGTAGTAATTTGGGAGAGGTTGGAAGTGGGAGCACATTCATTCATACTATACAATTTATTAATATTTGTGGCTATTGGTAGTAATTTGGGAGAGGTTGGAAGTGGGAGCACATTCATTCATACTATACAATTTATTAATAATTGTGGCTGTTGGTAGTAATTTAGGAGAGGTTGGAAGTTGGAGCACATTCATTCATACTATTCAATTTATTAATAATTGTGGTTATTGGTAGTAATTGGGAGAGGTTGGAAGTGGGAGCACATTCATTCATACTATACAATTTATTAATATTTGTGGCTATTGGTAGTAGTTTGGGAGAGGTTGGAAGTGGGAGCACCTTCATTCATACTATACAATTTATTAATATTTGTGGCTATTTGTAGTAATTGGGAGAGGTTGGAAGTGGGAGCACATTCATTCATACAATACAATTTATTAATATTTGTGGCTATTTGTAGTAATTTGGGAGAGTTTGGAAGTGGGAGCACATTCATTCATACAATATAATTTATTAATATTTGTGGCTATTTGTAGTAATTTGGGAGAGTTTGGAAGTGGGAGCACATTCATTCATACTATACAATTTATTAATATTTGTGGCTATTTGTAGTAATTGGGAGAGGTTGGAAGTGGGAGCACATTCATTCATACTATACAATTTATTAATATTTGTGGCTATTTGTAGTAATTGGGAGAGGTTGGAAGTGGGAGCACATTCATTCATACAATACAATTATTAATATTTGTGGCTATTTGTAGTAATTTGGGAGAGTTTGGAAGTGGGAGCACATTCATTCATACAATACAATTTATTAATATTTGTGGCTATTTGTAGTAATTTGGGAGAGTTTGGAAGTGGGGGCACATTCATTCATACAATACAATTTATTAAAGCGGAAATAATGTCAGGTATTCTAATCATCATTATATGTAGTTACAATACTACTGAATAAAATGCAATAAGTTGAAAATCTTGTTATGTGTTAGTTTTTGTATAATATTGAAAATGAAAATCATAAATTGACCCAGTGACCCAGTTGTCTGTTGGACGGGGCTCGCCATATTTCCCTCAGAGACCCGGATGTAGACCGGAAGTGTGACGTTTCTGCGACCTGAGCCGCCATCTTGAAAGCATTCACAACAAAGGAAAATGCCTATGTGTTGTGCGGTAAATTGTTCAAATATTTCCACTGATAGAGCTAGACTTGGGATAAGGACTTTAAAAGAAATGCCTGAACGACAGTACGACAGTCGGCTGGTGACGGTAGAATTAAAATCTGTCGACAGTTAAAACCAGCTGTCGTTGTCGTGGACCGAATCCCCGGGGAATAGAACACATTTAAAATAAAACAGTGTCACTTACTATAGTTTCTGAAAAGTTTCATGCACGGCTTTTAACAATCAAATATTCCTACTTATTATTGTCTTGTTTGTCGTCCTATATCTATCCTGGGGTTGTGTTTTTTCTCCCCAATACGGGAAAACATTTTGAATAAAGAATTTTCCAATTCCTCCATCGAATAAGTATAGGGTAATCTGCAGCAGTTTCGTTTTTGCTTCAACTCTTCGCGCATGCCTAGTAGTTTGAAATAATTTACAAGTGCGCATGTGTTTTTGGAATTAAGCCAATCAAATTATTCATTCTAATGCGCATGAACTAGATTTCGAATCAAGAGGAACTGGCGCAGATTGCCTCAAATGCTGAAATCGCTCTTCAAAAGCTCTTCAAGATAGATTGGTGAATAAAAATGAATAACAACTGAAGTTAGAGTGGTTTATTTAGTTCGATGTCAGGATATTTCAAGTAAGTATTGATTATATAGACGCTACAGTGATGATGGTTCTAGACACGCGGGGCAAGTTGTTTTAGCTGATTTTCTCCTCAAACGGCGTAGATTGAACACAATTTTACTTCCGGGTTTACCCACGACAGTTTGCTATCGGCAACAGAAATAACACTGTCGTTATCGACAATGGAATCTCACTGTCGTTCGGGCAGTTGCCATACCATACATATTCTGTCACAAGAAACCAAAGAAAACGGATTCAAGGCGAGCAATCCGGTCCCAAAAAGAGAACTGAACCAGGCCATGTGCCGGTTAGGTCGACGCCATTTTGAAAAAACATTTTGAATTGTATCGTATCGTATCGTATGTCTTTAATAGCTTTATAACTTAATACCATATTTGTGAAATAAATATAACATACTAGGTCTACGAGCCTTTAAATTGTTTGTTGTCTACTGTAAATACAACAGTAATACACCTCCATGGTGATCGAAATGACGAACCTTGCGTCATCGATCGCGATCATTCATGACGGGGAATACATTATCAGTTCTGCCTTATATTTATAACAGAGTGTCAAAAATCCAATTAATATCTGCCATTCGTCATTTTATTAAATAAAAGATCCGAATATGTTTAATCTTCAAGCAAAACGATCGAGAGATAATTGATTGTCAACATAAAATTAACGCATTTTCCTGTCATGTCGGTAACCAACGTTCACGAGTTGGTCAGGTTTTGATTGGCACTTTGGGAGTTAATTCTATGAATTGTAAGTATTGATGTGAACATGGTCATGTTTTTCTCGAACAGGTGATATCATATTATAGTATGCCAATATGCCAAATACATCGTCAAAATCTTCAAATTGCTCCATTTTCTTGTTAAGAAGTTCGTAATATTTTTCAATGTGGCCGCCCCGCTACAATTGCGCATGCGCATTTTTCGGGCCAATCAAAATGCTGGAATTTGTCGAGTCGCAGTGACGCCGCTCATGAATATTCATAGGTAGGTTATGGCGACCTCCATAATCCAGGTGAAGATCCAATACCTCAAAATTAATTCCAATATATCTGCCGATGCATTAGAAGATCGTCGCTCATACCCGGGTCATGTTTTTGATTATAGACTTATTATTCTGATGAATCATAGTTTTTACTTGAGGTTATTATCCCTTTAATAATTGTGGTTATTTGTAGTAATTTGGGAGTGTTTGGAAGTGGGAGCACATTCATTCATACAATATAATTTATTAATATTTGTGGCTATTTGTAGTAATTGGGAGAGGTTGGAAGTGGGAGCACATTCATTCATACTATACAATTTATTAATATTTGTGGTTATGAGAACTAAAGTTCTAAAACGCATTTTTCTCTGACCATTTTTCATGCATTGATGAGTTCATTTCTCGCTCATTTATCAACCAATTGTCTTAAATTCACGACAACGACCATTAAGATGAATGCCATGCATTGGTGTGAAGTGTCAATTATCAAGAGATATGTGTGACGTTTAAAACTTAGTTTTAAATAAATTCACAGTCCTTCAAAACCACTTTTTGAAACTAAATTAAGGTTTCACGTACATTGGGATTATACTTTAACACAAAGTGGTTTAAACTTTACTACACACATACATGTACAGACTACCTTGTAATTGTCTGTCAAAAGGGAAGTCTGTTAACGCTACATGCAATCGAATCACTGTCATATTATCGTGTTTGTCGTATCTTATTGATATACACATTAGATTCACCTGGTGTCATATGATTGTATATCATACATAGTTTATATAATACAAGTCACACTCACCTCTCTCTCAAATGGGCGCCTGCTGCCATATGATCGTATATCATACATAGTGACCTTTAATATTTATTGTAATACACGTTAATCTCACCTCTCTCTCATATGGGTGTCTATTGTCGTACAAGTCCCGTCCATCTCGTTCACGTTCATAGGGCCTTCTGCTTGGATCGTCTCTCTGGTTTGGAGATTTGTAGTCATCGTAAAATGACCTATTTGGCTTGGAGGAAGCAAGATCAAACCTTGCTTCTTCTTCTGGAGAGAGCGGCCTAACTGGTTGCTCTCCTTGTTTTAGCCAACTTTCTGTACGTCTGGGTGGCATTCGGTCCCGGTCAGAGACGATCCTTTTCTCGAGGTTACTTTCGTCTTGCTGATAGGAAAACACTGGCCAAACTGTAGGATCGTTCGAACGCGATGGACCTTGGTCCCGAGAATCCTCCCTGTAGCGTTCATCTCGATTGCGATCGTCCCTAAAGCGTTTATCTTGGTTGCGTTCGTCTCTGTTGCGTCCATTTTGGTTGCGTTCGTCCCTGTAGCGTTCATCTTTATAGCGATCATCTCTAGGTTTAGGTTCATCAGAGTATCTATCAGACAATAAGGCGTTACATAGGATTTGAATGACTTTTATAAGAGGCACACATACAGGATTGAGTTTGTATTTCAATTCTGAATTTAAATACAAGAACGTTACAAACGTTACGCAAAATAAATTAAACAAGCACATTATAGAGGACAAGAAAAACACGTGCTTCTACCGTGATTCAAAAATGAGACCCATCCACCCACATAATGTTTCATAACTTTTTTGTTTGAAAAAATTCTGACATATTGCACATTGAAATCAACTCCACGAGAAGTTTCAGATGACTAGCTCACCTAAGAGCACATTTATTTCAAAATATGTCGTCTATTCCTTTGCTGGCACAACTGGATCTTACACAAATAGGATTACATAAATTGAAATAGGTTATGATGATTTTATCAATGACAACTACATTATTTTGTGTTTAATTGAATGGACGTCATTTCCCTGAAAGTACCAGCCAAAACCATAAGTATTCATAAAGAATCCATGTGTGTCTGCAAAGGAATGGACGACGAGCAACTAATGTAGCGCTCATAACATTTGATCCACTTAAGCTACACATATGATATCTGGAGGTGCTTTTGCATTATATTTACTTTAAAAATGCAACAGGACAAGTCTATATGTTAATATACAAAGCTGTTATGTAACGTAAGATGAATGTCATTTTTTGTGTCACCCTGTCTTTATTCTTTAAGCACAGTGAGATTAATACAAGTACATACTCGTTTGGTCCTTCTCTTATTTGAGGATCTGACTGTTCTCGCTGAGGAGATTCAGACAAGGGTTGGCCCGGAGCTCTAAAGATAAAATACCACGAGGGATTAGAATATTCAAGGCATCATCGTGATTTTCAAAATTGATAAACGTGTGTTTCTACTAATGAAATCATTTTGTCTTTATCTTCAACGTCTTTGTCTTGAGGACTTAAGGTTCATTTCAGAAGAATTTAAGCCAGTTTGTGGCCAAATTTTGTGCCCCTTTTCTTAAGCAACGAGGCATTTTTCAAAACTGAGAATCATGTTAGGCCAATGCTCTTCCAGGTCTTATAAAGAAAAGGAATTTTTGAGAGTTACTGCAATTAGAAGCTGACATAAAATGTCTGTGTATTTACTTGATGCTTGGCTTCAGTTTAGGGCCATCATCGATATCATACAACTCTGGTGGTATTGTTTTTGGCACAGGGGGAGACCTTTTGTTAGCAGCGCACACAATCAGAATGATGATTAATATCAGCACTGCTCCACCTAAACTTCCACCAACGATGGCAACTATTTGGACGTATGATTTGCATTCCCCTCTTTGTAGGTAGTAACCATCATTGCATCTGCAACAAAATATTGCATTCAGTAAGGAATTATGGCGTTGAGAAGCTTAAAAACAACAATGATTCAAGTCTTGAAAAACGCAACAAAATCCCTTTCTAAAGGGGGGGGGGGGGTGTATAGAGATATTGTATATCGTATAAGAGGCTGAAAATTTATTGTATATTGTATAATAGGGGGCAAAATTTATCGTATATGGTATAAGAGCTGTAAAAAATATGGTATATGGTATAATAGAAAATATATTGTATATGGTATCTAGAATTAAAAAAGGCTAATTATGAAGAAACTGTACCCTAAAGTTCCCCATTGTGCCAACTCTCTTACTGTAACCGTGTTGGAAAAACATGGAAAAGTAGTCTCTCTAATTGGTTCCACATTCCAGGTCAATCAATACTGTAAGGGTTTGTGTAAAAAACCGGGTGACCGAGTAACCGGGTACCAAGTCGACCGGGTACCTAACGTTCCTAGCAGGGTTACCAACTTTCAAAGTTCCGGGTTACCGGGTGACCGGGTACTTAACGTTCCTAGCAGCAGGGTTAGGATTTTTTTTATTTATAACAATGGATCTGGACGATACATGTACGTTATTTTCGACGTCACGTTTTGAGGTTATTTCACATCGTAAGAACGTTTTGACAACGTTAACTACGTTAAAATAACGTCGGTAATGAACCGATTTAGTGAAAACATATTGACGTCTTTGTAACGTTTCCTTAACTCACAAATATTTTGAAGCCATTTCCACAATGTTGAAATTCAACCATCCATCGATGTTTTGCTGAATATTTAAATAACGTCAGATCAATACGGTCCATGAACGTCACATTTTGAGGTAATTTCAAATCGAAAAAAAAACGTTTCGACAACGTTAAATTTTAACGTTAACAATACGTCGGAAATGAACCGACTTAGTGAGAACACAAAGTTTTTGTCATGTTTTTTTCCACCAACAAATATTTTGATATTAAAAGCCTGTTTTGACAACGTTGAATTTTAACGTTTGAGTTATGTCACATGTTTACGTTGCCTCGATGTGCAAAGAACGAAAATGTGCAACGTCTTCTAGGAACTTATATGCTACTTGACATGGACGTCACTGTTTGCTGGATCGATTATTTTAAAAAGTGTTCTGTCTCGTATAGGGTAAAAGTATCGAACAGCAGTGCACTCGGTAGGCTAAGTCTGTCAAGTCAATTCGCTACTATATATCGGGGGAAATTAGGAACTTTGAAAGTTGGTAACCCTGCTAGGAACGTTAGGTACCCGGTCGACCGGGTACCCGGTTACCCGGTCACCCGGTTTTTTACACAAACCCATACTGTAACTTTAGAAAAAATCCTTCTCAAACTAAGAGTTTTGTGCCCTTTTCATTCAAATTTTCACAGGAGGTGTTAAATATAGTCTCAAATAAGAATCACGCCGGATGATCAGAAGAAATGAACGAAGGGGGGCTAGATCTAGCTGATTTTTGGTAGAAAATTCAACAAATCTTGAAGATTTATTTTTTCAAGAGAAAGTTTACAATTGAATGGCTAAATGTATAGACACAGTGGACGGGGGAATATGTTAGGTCTTCTTGGATTTTTTTGAACTGTGGAGTTTTAAAATAAAAGATCTATTAAAAAAGTGCAGGGTCGACAATGTGCAAATGCCAATTTTTTGCTATAAATCAACCAACAGGGGTCTACACGACCTGTAATAAATACTTGTAAGTGAAGTAATTATCACAAAACTATTGTCATCATTGGTTTTGTAAAACATGTTACCATACGTTATATAAAAAGTAATCTAACGTTATTAAAATTGAACGGAGGGGGGAGTAATATGTCTATAAGACATATGAAAACTTCCATTAACTCCATATGTCCCCATTTTTCACTTTTCAGAGTTGTAACATCAAGTTACTGAGTAAGTGAGTTCATTTTTCAAGTACACGAATTTGTGGAAATTTCTTCCACCTTAAAGACATATTACTCCACCCCCCCTCCGTTCACTCCCCCCTCCTCCGTTCAATTATTCGATTATTTTTTATCTATCATTTGGAAAATTATTTTAAAAAACCGGCAAAGAATTTTGTGATAAAAACGTTGCTTATATATTTATTACAGGTCGTACAGACCATTGTTGCTTGATTTATAGCAAAAACATTGGCATTTGCACATTGGCGACGTTGACTCATCTTAACTTTGATGAAAAATATGGTCAGTATGGCTACTCGTGTTTCGGGGTATGTGGGATAAATCATTAAAATATTTGAGAATAAAGTGTTCATACAGCGCATGTTTTAATACAAGCATCACAATGCTAATATAGCATTATATAGCAAAAGGTTTTTATTTGGTCTTCAAACTGTCATATGTTGGATTTCGGCTATTTATTGGGGATTTGAACAGGTGCATATGTTAGGCCAATGCATTAACTCCAGATCAAGCAATTTGATTGTGCAATTGATGATAATTTGGACTTTGAGACAGGGAAGGTTTTTCTGAAATTTTGTTCTGATTTTTAGCCCTTTCCACATATGTTTTTTCAATGTTTGATGCACCAATATGTTGCACTTTGAGACACAGTTTTGAGACACAGTTAACCTCTAAAATATGATTTATTTGGGATAAAGTGGAAAACTGTACATGTATTTCCCATAGGGAAAACTCATGTGATCCATTGTTTTCAGCTAAATTTTGGTCATTCAAAATTGATATCTTTAAAACCCCTGCATGAATCATATTTTCATTTAAAACGCAACAGAGTGATCGATGCAACAAACATTGAAAAACAGGTGTGGAAAGGGCTGGAAATCAGGACAACATTACAGAAAAAACATGTTGATGGGGTGCAAATTTGCACCTTCCCTGACTTAAAGTCCAAATTATTTTATAATCTCTATGATTGCTTGTCCTGGAGTTAATGCATTGGCCTAACATATGCACCTGTTCAAATCCTCAGAAAATAGCCAAAATCCAATATATGACTGAAATCTGTTGCAATACCGTCTGTGGTCCTTTAAAAGAAAGTTATTTCTAGTTGCATAGAGTAGTTTTCATTCTCATCAATACATCTTTGCCTTGAAATCATTCGTGAAACATGTGGTTTGAACTTTATGGAAATTTGCTTTATTTTGACACACCTTTATTTAACTTAAACTGTCTTTAAGGCTGCCTTGTCTGAAACCCCGAAGTGTCTCTTGTTTCAAATGTTTAAACAATCAAGTCTCGTCTTGCCTTTATTTCAAACTCTAATTTCCAGACTCGAGTCCAATCAAAAATGAATTATCTACATGGAAGTTTGTGAAGTCCTTTATTTCTGAAACTGTTTTCAATACTTAATATTTTCAGGTAACTGCTTTACAAAATCATTGTGCATTGTGAATCTTCATTACCTGTCTGATACAATTTTCCTCAGCAAACTTTATTTTCATAGAACACATGATGAATCTTTTATTCCACATTCTCAATTTTGCATCAATTATGTTTCAAGGATTTTTTTCCCTGGCTCACTATGAATGATTCCATTGACATTAAAATATGTCATGGGAAAGTAGGTCATAAGAAAGAGGAACATTGAGTTCCACCCATTCTAATGATGCAGGTTTTGTGCTAATTTTGAATATCTTTATGGTACTTTTACAGGTAATGGGCTAATGGCTTTAGCAAATTGCAGAAATGTTAAAGTTAGTTTTTTTGGTCAAAGTAGGTTGTGAAATCACTAAAGATAAGTCATGAATCTTATATCATAAATGTGTTTTAAATCAGCTTGTTTACCTGAAAATAAAATGTGGTCACAGCTTTTCTGAACATGCGGATGTACCCGAATGGTGTCTTATTCATAATGTAATAAATGAAATCATTGTGGTATGTTTGTGGAGTTTATTTCCCTTATAATAATACATTTACTTTAGTACATGGATTCTCTCCTAATATTATTTCCTTATAAATATCCAAACTTTAATCAAAAGCAGTTTCAAAATTATCGTATATTGTATTTCACCTAAAATATCGTATATGGTATAAGAGCTGTGAAAAATATTGTATATGGTATAAAAGGGGTGAAAAAATATTGTATATGGTATAAGAGAGCTGAAAAATATTGTATATGCATTTCCAAGACCCTCTATACACCCCCCCCCCTCTAAACAATATTTTTTTAGTATCTTTAGAACAATGGTACATCGTGGAAAGTCCAAAAAGCGAACAGAAATTGATAAATAAAAGTCTAACATAGTGCATGACAATTATCATCAATTTTGCCTAACAAATCGTTGGCCATATCATGGGCGAACCAAAGAAATATTTGTTTTTTTCAATCCATATTTATCTTGATTCTCAAGTTTTTAGTTGCTCCACTTGGAATTCGAAGATGATCCATATTAAGAATTGTGACACCTAAATTATCGAATGATAGTAATTTTCCCTGCTTTATATTATTTCTGATGAGAATTGACCATTCCCCAGAGCACAGAATGCCGTTTTTCTCTCTATTACACTATTTGAGTACTTAAAATCCATATAGTACGAAAATTTGACGATTATCATTATTTCTTCTAAGAGGTATTGAAGTCATCACAACAGTCACCCTGCTGTGCCCAGTATTAAAAATCCAGAGAGGTTGTGTCGTTTAGCGTAACAATACACTAATTGTTTATACTAGTATGACAATTAACAGACTTATAACAGTGATAAATATATAAGCACTAGTGCCAAAGGGAAAGGACCAAAAGTTGTGATGGAACTTAGCAAGAAAAAGCAAACTCTAAGTGCATACCAGTCAAGAAAAACAAACCCCATATAGCCCAAAACCATGATCTAACGTGAAAAGAAACAATGTCTAATACCCCCTTTCCCCCCACCATTCAAGAATCAATGTCACAATCCAATACCAGAAGACCAAGGGACATTTCATTCATACTGAAGTCATTACAATACATGTTGAAGAAAAAATTAGAAATAGATAGCCAATTGATAGCCAATACTCATAATCTCAAAAATTGTTGTAGATACAAGTACTCATATAAGATAGAGCATTCAGTCTCAAATGATGTGGGATAGATAAAATCCAGTCTCCAAGTCCATAGGCGTTTCAAAGGGTCAACATCCATTCACAAAAGCCGTCGCCATAATCCATAAAACAATAATTCACAATGGTCATCAGGAGAAAACTATGGCTGGTTTCGATCCCTATTTGGTAAGGGATTTGGTCAAAATAAGGTTGACCGAATATCCATTGTCTTCAATATCCATTTAAAAGTTCGAGGTTGTTTAGTCAAATTCCTCCAGCACGTATGCTTTTATAGGGTCCGTCTGACCCTGGGGCCAGGGTCATTAAATTATATGTTGTTATATTCAATTGGAAGTGGTTATTTTCTCATAAGAATAACATATTTGGGAAATATTCAGGAAAAGTTGCGTAATCCAGAAAATACTTTCTATTTTCTATAATTATAAATTCAACAATAGAAGCCAAATAGGCCAGCTTTGAACAAGCCAAATTACATTTCCTGAAAAGGTCATTTTAGTATTTTCGGCCATTTATGTGTAGAATCTTGTGAAATCATACTTGCAAACAGTAGTGTTTCCAAGGGCGCCTAAAGAGCATGTTCCGTCACTACAACCTCCCCATATGCCATAGGGTGTATTGCTACACAAACTGTAACAAACAGGAACACCACGTTCTGAATTCGATTCCCTTTGGTCAAGGCACCTGTGTCCATATTCACATTGGAAGGTGTTTCCAGGGTTGTTACACACTGTGACTACAAAATGTTAATAAAATTGCATTAAAATTATTTCATTTTATGCAATGACTTTTAAATCGCAACATGGCATATGTGAGCCCAGACAATGGAAAAGGACAAACAAATACAAAGCAAGACAGCAAGTAGTGCCATTTATAAAGCTATGCTTCAATTATTAGAAAAGGCAACTACATTCATTATTCTGAGCTAGATTTTACGCAAATCAAAGCAAAAATTCTCAAGTTATTGCTTCAAATGAGACATTTTCATCATTTGATCATTGCAAGATTTCTTTCTCAAGAGTTTAAAACCTCATTGACATTACATATGGGAACAAACTTGCTAATTTGCATGCAAATCCAATTTTAGCTTTTCTTGTGCATAATAAAATAATGAGATGATTCCCAAGGTTAACATTTATAGAAAAGTGAGTTCGTTGCAATTGCTAGATATGTGATATATGCCATCATGAAAAATCATGGCCTTCTATTACCTAGTACCACACCCGGTGATCGGGAAAATGCCGGAGGGGGGGGGGTGGTCATTACTTCTGAATTGATAGGCGCAAGGTATGGTAAAATATGTTAGGTCATCTAGTATTTTTTTGAACTGATACCCTTCTAAGATATTAGATCTATTAGAAAGGCGCAAGTCCACCAACGTGCAAAAGTCAATGTTTTTGCTATAAATATACACGACCTGATATAAATATTTGTAAGTGAAGTTATCATAACAGAATTAATGCCATTAGTGATTTTACAAAATACGTTGGGGGTTGGAGTTATATGACATAAAGTCAAGTAACATTTCTTATCATGTGTTATATACATATTACTCCCCCCTTCGTCCCATTTTAATTATTCTCGATTAATTTTTATCTAACGTATGGAAACCATTGCTTATCTTATAAAATCAGCAACTGCAATCATTTTGTTATGATAACGTCACCTACAAGTATTTATTACCAATGTTGCTTGATTTATGGCAAAACCATTGACTTTTGCACGTTGGTGGCTTTGCGCCTTTTTAATAGATCTAGATCTCATTATCTAAGAAGCACATCGGTTAAAAAAAAATCCTAAAAGACCCAACATATTTTACCATACCATGCGCCTATCCATTAGGCAATTCAAAAGTAACACTTCTCTTGAAAAAATAAATCGTCCAGATTTGTTGAATTTTCTTGCAGAAATTGCCTGCCTCCATTCCGTCCCATTTTTCCGATCACCGTGCGTAAGAAGTTTCTAAGCTTTCTAGCATATTAAAGACCGAACGATATGATGAATATATAGAAGCTTAGTTACCATTTTCGATCTGTTGGAGTGTCGTCTGTTTAATATACGTCTCATCAACGCTGAGTTCTTTCTGAGGGGGGCCGAAGGCATCAGTTTTTATCTTTTTATTTCCCATTACTAGCATCGTTTCTCGAACACGTTTTTTAAGACCTTGAACGCCATCTGACTTGTCGAGCAAAGCCTTCTGTACGTCGTATATAAGATCAAATTCTGCTATTATGCTCCCATTCCTAATTACGAACACAATGTATCCATGTTCTTAGTAATGCAAATAGTGTGCAGATTGCAGACTATAATTAAAGTACAGGAGATACGACGTCAGATACTGTACCACACGGCATTTTACTGCATTTTTACATGCCTACTTACTTTTAAAACCGCGATATCTCGACAGCAAAATCATATTTTTCTACAATATTTTGTCATTAGTTGAACATATATGTCCATGAAGTATTTTGCCTATCGGGATTCAAAATAATTAATTTGGAACTTTTTAATTGAGAATCACGCAAGCCGTATTATGTGACTTTCTACGCTAAAACCGGGTGTGGACTGTAACATTTTGAAGAAAAATGATTTTAATTTTAAACGAAAAATGAAGATAACTTTTTCATTTCTAAACGGATCTTTCTCAAATTTTCACAATATTTAAATTCACCATTTTGAAAAACACGAATAGATGCTGTGTGATGACGTCATAATATAACAATGCTAACTTAACGCTTATATTTATGCCAAAAAAGTGTGGACAGGCAGAATTTCGTACCAACAAGATATATCTTTTGATCAATTAAACATTAAATCGTTTAAAAGGTGAATTATTCTTTTTTGATTCCTTAAAGGTATATCATATTCTACATTTTTATCAAAAAAATATATCATTTCGATTAAAATTCAATCTGTAAGAAGTATAAATTGAAAGAAATATAAAGTGAAGCCATGTGAAAAATTCACAAAATTACGTTTCATTTTTTGTGTTTAAATATCTCTAATTCAGTGAAAAACATTTGAAACGTTCCAATGTTTCAACATGTTCTTTTAATTATACCCCTAACTATATACAATTAATTTCATTCAATTTGAACCAGTATATATTGAGATATACATCACTTTATTATCGCAACCCCAGGTGAAGCCTTTACAAAATAACACGTTACGCCATTAGCGTATTTTATGTTCTCCTTTATTATTCATTGCTTTAACTAAATAAAATTAAATATTCGAGTTAAAATAAATAACAAATAATACATTTAGCAATCCTTGGTATTTTCCCGTCTGTGTATATCAGTTGAATATGACAAGGGGCTCTGTGAAAGCGTCTAGAATGACTATGCGACAACGAGAGCGCAGGGCCGAAAAGCGCGACAAAAAAGAAAACAGGTAGTGTTTGAATTGTCTACTTTCTGGTGATTTTTATTTTGTATATCGTGACACAATCTTTTTGAATATAGAATTGTATTGAAGCACAAATTAATCTGAACAAAACTTGAAATTTTTAAGAAGATTCCACGAATATTAAAACTTTTGCATTAACTTGGAGGAGCAATGCGCGTATTTATCGCGTAAATCATCGCATTTTTGTTCGTAAAATGGACACTTACCATGTTACGCCGTGATGTACAGTATCTGACGTCGTATCAGGAGGACGTTCATAAAGTTATTGTAAAAGTACTCTAAAATTATTTTATTATTTTATTCAATTAGCACTTTATGAACACCCTGTATTTAACTTGAATTTTGGCATGTCAAAATTGTCTCAGTGTATAAATACAGGGTGTTAAAAAACGCAGCCCACAGAAATCGCTAATGAAGATGACATTTAATTATATTCATACATGAGGGAAGATTCATTATCAAAATATTATTTGGTATTTTCAATAATAATATATAGATATTCGCTATTTTAAAGCCTTTGAAATAAGTAGATGTAGAATTGCTATTGGGTGTAAAAATATATGTACTATGATTGCCAAAGCAAATGTGATCAAGGCACTATTACCTAAATTTTGTCACTGAGCAGTTACGAAGTTCCCCACTTTTGTTCAAGCCCCCATTATGCTATAATACAAAATGCTCTCTATTATTATACTATAGTATAATTGAATACATTTAAAGTCTAAAAATTATATTGGGTATCTACAAAAGCCCTTTACTGTACAATGTTAGCAATGCAAAATTAGAGTCCATTTTGCGCCATGTCATCTTTTCGTGGTTCTGATTTTAAATGGATCTTAGAATGAACTTTTCACCCCGACCACATCCCGTTTTACAGTTTTTGTATAGGTCGTTTTAAGAGCTGGACCAGGTATGGTAAGCCAGATAATTTAAAATAGTCAATATCTTTGACCACGAGTATATACTGACCATTCATCCTCTCCATTGTTTTCAGTGTAATTTTGGTCACTTACATTTGACATCTTCAGAATTAGACATTAAATGCCATTCAACTTTTGAAGAAAGGACAAATTTGAATGAACCAGATGTTGTTTAATCTATCTATGCAATAAAGTCCATTCTTTGATAATTGTACAACTTAAAGACATCTCTTGAAGTAAAACATTTACTTCGATATGAAATATTATATTTATGGAAAGAAAATGATCATTGTAAAATACATAGTACTAGAATGTAGTAACTAAGATGCATTGAATCATAAATAAACTTACACTTTCATCCACTAAAAACTTGATGACATCTTTGGCTAAAGTCTTGAACATTTCGGAAGCTTGTTTCTCGAGTTCTTTTTTAAAGTCGCCACTCGTTTTCATTGACAACCCGGTCATATGAAACTCGTCACTCACTAAAGTAACAAAGCAAAAATATCTGCACAATTGAATACGTTTCGCAACTCTCACTCCATCAGCCAGTTACAAGCAAGAGTCAAGTTTCAAGTCAGAGTGCCACTTGTTAGAAATATATTTTCTGAGTGAAAATATTACATGTTTTAAAGGAAAGGGTTCTGTAACAGTCACATAAGCTATCATCAAAGAGAATGGTTGACCAATTGAACTCCTCTTTTAGATCAAACATAGTTTAAGATGAAGGGCTTGTTACATTATATTATTACTAAGAACCCCTGGCACTATATAACTGCGAAACTTGGGGTATATAGGTTGGGAATTAAAAAAGTTATAGTGTCTTGAGAAAAGTGGCGTTTTTTGGCCCACCCTGTATACTATATTATCAATAGGTCTAATATGCACACCAAAACTGAAAGTTGTTGAGATAGAACAGTTTAACCAAGATTATTCTGACGTTCATTGCTTTCATTAACTTGTCTATGGCATGTAAGAATCAAACTTTAATCTGTGATGATCAGAATATCTCATTTGTGGCTAATGACAATCATTATAAATATATATGGTCTAACGACAAGGCAAATGATTTTCAAACAAACTTAGATACTTTTAAAGTAGGGTTGTCCCAGAGAACCTGATGATGGGTGATGGATGAAATTTTTCGTTTTGTCTAATTTTATGTTAAATTATATATAGTAGAAAGATATAAAATTTCCCAAAATATTTTATTCTGAGAACCTTTTTTGGCAAAGTTATGCCATCATTTAGAAATAGGGGTAAACTTCTTAATTTTACCCAGATTTCCAGGGATTTGGGCATTATTTTCACCCCAATCTTACAAACATACCCTATTTCACATGCTCTGTTTATATTTCAATTCATGTGCTTTTGCAAATTTCATCTTTTTTTATTATTTATAAAACCTTAAATATTAAGGAAACAAAAAAGGAATAATAATTTGACATATATCTTGTATTTTTTTCTCCACGTTAGTATGACATACATACCCCTACCTCATAAATTGGTAATTTTTGTCTATTTTTACAAAAAAATGATATTTACACATTCTTTCATAAAATCTCAAGTAGAGCTATACATCATTTAGTTTATGGCTTGTGAGAATGGGTATATGGTGGGCTTCAAAAGAAGCAAAGAAAATAAGTGGAACTCTTGAGTGTTTTTCTGCCACAGATGAACAAAAATTGAGAAAAAATAGTAAAATTTACCAGAAAAAAATAACTGCAGAATGAGCTCTTCAGGTGAAGTGCCACGCCCACTTTTGGGCAACATATTAATGTCCCCTAACTTTTTTATTGACCATGCACTGGAGTTCCTGTTTCTCAGGTGTAATACATAACCAACCAACAACAAACTGTGGAAGTTTGAAGGAAAACAAAAAAATTGATATATCACAGATTTCAAGAATCATCAGGTTCTCTGGGACAACTCTACTTAAGTTAAAAAGCAACTACTGTTAGATGATCCATCAACATCTGTTGAAGATTTAAATGTAAAGCTAAATTAATGTTTTTTGTCTGCTGCTGATAAATCAGGGTTATCAGTAAAAACATGTAAAAAAGATGGTTTTAAAAATGGTAAAAATGTTAATAAATGGTTTGATAAAACATGTCATCTAAAAAGGAGACCATATCATAATGCTAAAAATAGGTATCTTAGGACCAAAAGTGAACTAGATAAGCTAGACATGGTACGTAAAAATAAACAATACAAAAAGCAACGCATCAAAGCTCAGGAAGAGTACAAGAGGCAGTTTAACAAAAAATTATTGAATCTCAAGAAGAATGATAGTAAAAGGTATTGGAAAATTTTAAATCCAAAGTCAAAAAAAGAATTCAATGAAGTCAACCTTGATCTCTTAAGGGACCATTTTGCAAACTTGTACTCATCTGATGCATCAAATGAGATACCAGAAGACATGCCTTCTTAGTATGAGACAGGCTTTGCTTATGACTTGAATATTAAACTTCTTAATTGTGACATCACAGCTGATGAAATTTATTCAGCTATCAAATCCATAAAGAATGGCAAGTCTTCAGGTATGGATAATATATTAAATGAGTATATTAAGTACAGTAAATCACTATTGATTGACATATGGGTGAAATTGTTTAATAAAGTGTGAACCTGTGGAGTTATGCCTAGTGACTGGTTGAAAGGAATTATTAAACCAATTTTCAAGAAAAAGCGTAATCCGAATAATCCCAAAAATTATAGAGGTATAACATTGTTAAGCTGTTGTGCTAAATTATTCACTCATGTGTTGAATGTAAGACTGACTGACTTCGTGAATTCAATGGAATTGGATTTCGGAAGTCTCATTCCACAAATGATCATATCTTTGTTTTGAAATGCTTGATTGATATTCTTTTGACTAAGAAGCAAAAACTGTATTGTGGATTCGTAGATTATTCGGTTGCGTTTGACTCTGTGTGGAGAGCTGGCCTATGGCACAAGCTAATTAAATGTTATGGAATCGAAGGAAGGTTTTTAACTGTAGTCCAGAATATATATAATAATACAGGGCGTATCAAAAAAAAAAAAAAAATCACAAAACTAGTGATGACTACATCAATTTCATTTAATGTATCATAAAGCCACATCTCTCCTCTTTCCGATGATATGTCTATCATTCACATGTGAAAATGGTTGGGTGAGAAATCCTTCCGTTTACACAGTGGCAAGGGTTGGCTCTTGGCAAACTTTTAGATATTGCAAAAATCAGTGCAAGGGCTAAGTGCCAATGGAAGTTCCTCTGAATTGAATTGTTGTGACTTTTTCTTTTGGAGCTATCTCAGGAGCATCTGTGCTCACAATTCCTCCACTAGATATTGCAAAACCTCTAGAAAGAATTGCCCATGGGCTGCTTTTCTCTGCTTTAACCCACAGATGACTCAGGGCTGAACCATGCATGGCGTGGGCAGATGAGCGCATCTTTATGTGGAAGGAAGTGGTGGCAATTTGGAGAGGTATAGGATGTATTCTTGCAAGAGTATGAGTATGGACACTTTACTGTCTATGCCACACCTGTCACATCTTCTTCCAATAGCCCCTATGCCCTTTGTACTGGTTTTTGCAATTTTTAAAACTTGGGTCCGAGCTGAATTTTGCCCCACTTTGCAAAATTAATGATTATTCGGCCAGTCATGACTCCCTGTGAATGAATGATATTCCATTGCAAAGAGGATTAATTTGGCTTTTTGGTACATTGAATGAAAAGGATGCAGTCAGCATTGGTTTTATGTTTTTTTCCAATATTGCATCAGGCTCCGTACACTGACTTTTGCGATGTTTATAACTTGGCCATAAGCTAATTTTGGCCCATTTTGCAAATGGAATGATTACTCGCCCAACCATGACCAAATATCAATGAATGATATATCATTGTAAAGAGGAGACACATGGCTTTATGGTGCATTGAATGAAATTAATGCTGTTATCATTGGTTTTGTGATTTTCCGAGATAACAATCTGTTGCGTTTTTTTTGATACGCACTGTATTAAGAGTTGTGTATTTCATGATAATGTTAAAAAGTCTGATTGTTTAGCTCATCTTTAGGGCTATGTCAGGGAGAAAATCTCTCTCCTTTGCTTTATGTTTTGTTTATAAATGATATAGAAGCCTTTTTACTTGACAATAGTTGTGAACCTATTCCACTTATGGATGACGCACAACTAAATGTACTTTTAAAGTTGCTTGTTGTATGCAGATGATACTGTGATATTTGCTAATTCTATGACCAATTTGCAAAATGCCTTTTCTAAATTATCACGATATTGTAAAAATGGAAAACCCACATCAATTTAAATAAAACCAAGGTTATGGTTTTTAGTAATAATAAAACTGGTAGAAGAGCTAGGTATTCAAAATGTAGTTTTGGATGGAATTGAACTGGAAAATGTGTCTGTTTTTAAATAGTATTATTATTGATCAAAAGGGTGGATTCAATTAAAATATTAAAAATGTATATAGCCAGGCAGAAAAGGCCATGTTTGCTATACTTAGCCAGGGTAATATATATTCGTTACCAATTAAGACACAATTACATCTGTTTGATACGCTTGTTGCCCCCATTTTGTTATATGGAGCTTAGGTATGGGGCTTTATCAACAATACAAAAATAAAAAATTACATTTAAAGTTCCTTAAAGTCAAAGCATCAGCACCAAACTTTATGGTTTATAAGGTGAGTAAGGGAGAATGCCATTAAGGGTAAAATTTGATTTATGTACAGGGTGGGCCAAAAGAAACGCCACTTTTTTTTCAAAATGCTATAACTTTTTTAATTTTTGATATTAAATCATAATTTGCATACCAAATGAAACTTGAGGTTGTTATCTAGCCATGGATCATAAATTATACAATTTTACTTGAATAAAATATGTCACCAGCGTCTCACTTAAACATGTGGTTTTCATGAGAAATAAGCATAATTTGCAAAATGTTCCTGAATTGATACAGCCTGATGATCGCCAAGCTAATAGCCCTGATGCAAACCCCAGTGAGTACAGGGTATTGGAAGGTCTCCAGGAGATTGTATGAAGGCACCCAATCTAGAAAATTGCTCAACTAAAGCTTGGAATTTAGACAGGTTGGAAAAAACTTAGCTAACATTTCATTGATACTGCACTATCAGCAAGGCGACTAAATCTAAAATATATCATCAATTAGGGTGGCGGACCAATTGAACTCCCCTTTTAGATCAAATATAATCCAAGTTGAATGACTTGTTACATTATATTATTGTTAAGAACCCTTGGCACTAATATATAACTGCAAAATTTGAGGTATGTAGGTTGGAAAAAGTTGTAGTGTCTTGAAAAAAAAGTGGCGTTTTTTTGGCCCACCGTGTATATTAAAATATTGGTATAGATTAAGCCCTAACAATGAAAAAATGCTCTCAGCGAAGATGTACAAAATATATAGCAGTTATTTTGATAAAAAATCTTGTGAAGTCTGACTGGCTGAATTATGCAAGAAGTCATTAGGTAATCTTGGTATGACAAACATTTGGTTAAATCCTAGTAGTTCGTATTTTTCAAAATTTGTTAAAACGGTAAAATTAAGGCCAGACGACCAGTTCAGGCAATCATGGGAAAATGATGTACTAAGTAATAGTAACATAGGTTTTAATTATAGATTTTTTAAAACAGAATTCAAGTTTGAAGATTACTTATTTTCACTGCCTCAAAAATATAGAGTCATTTTATCAAAATACAGAATGTCCAACACAAAATTACCTATTGAGAGGGTAGGTATAGAAATGTATAAAAATAGAAGATTTTGTGAACTATGTAATAACAATTCATTAGGAGATGAATTTCATTTCATATTAGAATGTACGTCTGTTAAAAGCATTAGAAAACAATATTAACCTCAATATTTTTGTAAAAACATAAGTACTTTTAAATATGCCCAGCTGTTACAATCTGATAGTAAAGTATTGTTAGCATTATGTGAGTTTCTAAATGAGGCTGGGAAGCAATTGTAAATATGTTAAATATGTATTGTAAATATGTTATGAAATACTTAATTGTTATATACTTATTTACTTATGTACTTTTGCCTAATACCCTTTATTTGGGTGATGGCATAATAAATAAAATTGAAATTGAAATTGAAAAATTGAAAGTTGACCTTATTTCGCATCGATTCAAATATATCTGGGTCTTAAAGAGAGAATCAGATCTAGCAAGCAGGCCAATAAAACATTGTTTCAATTTTAGAATATTTCTGGCTCATTGTCATTCCATGTCATATTTATTTTCTAAAAATCCCCAAAGTGCACATTTTATTTCAAAAAACTCAAGATTTTTATAATAGTGTATTATTTTCCATAAGAATGGTTACCATTCTTATTATTTGGAAGAATTTAGACATTCTTCACCCATTTTTGCACTTTGAATCCATAAAAAACTTCACCAATTTATAACATATCGTGAATGTTTTGGGTTACTTTATTATCATTCTATAACATCGATAATTAAATTTTTTAAATTTGTAGTAATGATATGTTATTCTAGGGGTATTAATGCTCAAAATCATTCAAGCGCCCCTGTGCCTTTTCAAAACTATTGTGGAAACTGGCTTAGTTTGCATTTTTTATCCATCTCAAAATATTAAGTCTTATTTCCAGCAAACTATTTAATTTGTAGCACCTAACTAAATTATCATGTAATGAATATTACTTCCTAATTAACCCTCAACTGAGATGTTCATCTCCTTTCTCTTTGCATGACATGATGAAAATGAAAAACAAGCAGATGATATCATTAACACTGACTAAGTCGCTTGGCAGAGACAGGATTCTTATACCAAAGTAACATTTTATATGTCATTTGAAGAATGTTATCCTATTTTCTTTACTTTATTGCTATATTTACTGTTATTGTTATCCTATCATATACATATATATAATATACATATGTATAATACAAAAAATTAGAATATGATGGTTGCCGCAAATAAACGAATACAAAACACTGGGCTTGTAAAGTAGATTATCAATTTAAAAGTGCGCATATGACATGCGATGTTACTTGAATACAATTAATTATAAATAATTATAAAACTTTAACAACAACTTGTATATGATTGAAATGTTGCAAATTTACTTATTATAGGGGGCCTGCTTGGTTCTGCTTTCTCGATTGTTGTTGTCGGCGGGGTTGCCGTTGTTGTCGTCGGGGCTGCCGTTGTCGTAGTCGGGGCTACCGTTTTCGTCGTTGGGGCTGCTGTGGTTGTTGAAATAATTGGCGTACTTGTTGAGATAGATGTCAGGGCGGATGTTGTGGTTGTTGAAATAATTGGTGTACTTGTCGAGATAGATGTTAAGGTGGGTGTTGTTGTTGTTGGAATAATTGGCGTACTTGTTGAGATAGATGTCAGGGCGGATGTTGTGGTTGTTGAAATAATTGGTGTACTTGTCGAGATAGATGTTAAGGTGGGTGTTGTTGTTGTTGTTGAAATAATTGGTGTACTTGTTGAGATAGATGTTAAGGTGGGTGTTGTTGTTGTTGAAATAATTGGTGTACTTGTTGAGATAGATGTTAGGGCGGATATTGTGGTTGTTGAAATAATTGTTGGTGTACTTGTTGAGATAGATGTCAGGGCGGATGTTGTGGTTGTTGAAATAATTGGTGTACTTGTCGAGATAGATGTTAAGGTGGGTGTTGTTGTTGTTGGAATAATTGGCGTACTTGTTGAGATAGATGTCAGGGCGGATGTTGTGGTTGTTGAAATAATTGGTGTACTTGTCGAGATAGATGTTAAGGTGGGTGTTGTTGTTGTTGTTGAAATAATTGGTGTACTTGTTGAGATAGATGTTAAGGTGGGTGTTGTTGTTGTTGAAATAATTGGTGTACTTGTTGAGATAGATGTTAGGGCGGATGTTGTGGTTGTTGAAATAATTGGTGTACTTGTTGAGATAGATGTTAAGGTGGGTGTTGTGGTTGTTGAACTAATTGGTGTACTTGTCGAGATAGATGTTAAGACGGATGTTGTGCTTGTTGAAATAATTGGTGTACTTGTCGAGATAGATGTTAAGACGGATGTTGTGCTTGTTGAAATAATTGGTGTACTTGTTGAGATAGATGTTAAGGCGGGTGTTGTTGTTGTTGTTGAAATTATTGGTGTATTTGTTGAGATAGATGTCAGGGCGGATGTTGTCGTTGGAGCTGCTGTTGTCGTCGTCGGTGCTGCTGTTGTTGTCTTCGGGGTTGCCGTTGTCGTCGTCGCTGCTGCTTTCGTGGTTGTTGAAGTTAACACAGCAAGGAGGCATATCATTAGCCCTGAAAATATATCCACACCAAAATTGAAATGTGATCAGGTACCATTTCTATAATCACATTCTCTTGACTACATCTCAAATCAAAATGTTGTAAATAAGACATATGTTAAGGTTAATTCTAATGAAGGGGAAATAGTCAAGAACCATCTAAATTTTTTGAATAATTATAGGATTTAACCAACAGAGAAACAGGAACATTTGCCCAAAATTTACTGGACACCTAAGTTACATAAAACCCCTATAATGCTAGGTTTATTACTGGGTCTAGAGTCAGTTCCACTAAAGAAGTTTCCGGACTATTGACAAGGTGTCTTCAAGCTGTTAACGATAATAGGGAGACTTATTGTAAGTCTATTTTTAGAAATTCCGGGGTTAAACATATGTGGATCCTCAAAAATTCAAAAGATCTTTTATCAAAATTTAATTACCCAATTTATTCAAAAGTTAAATGTATTTCAACGTGGGATTTTTCTACACTTTACACATCAATTCCTCATGACAAGTTATGAAATATTTGGAATCATTAATGTCATAATATATACTGTAATCCAGTGGCGTAGCCAGGATTTGTCAGGGGGGGGGGGGGGGTTCTAATATTTTCTGCCAAATTTGCCAAATGTGCTTAAATTTTGCCAAATTTGCTTAAGTTTTGCCAAATTTGCTTAAATTTTGCAAAGTTTTCTTAATTTTGGTCTAATTTAATTAATTTTCGACAAGTTTCTAAAATTTTACTTAAATGCCAATAATGGATAAATTTTACCAAAGTTTCATTGTTGCCAAATTTTCATATTTTTTGCCCATTCGCTAAAATTTAAAATTTTACCAAATTTTCTCAAGTTTACCAAATCTCAAACAATTGCAAAAGCAAAAATAGGTAAAATATCCCAAGACCAAGTTCGTTTATTTGGGCAGATTTTTTTTAATTTGGACCCAACATACCACAAATTCACAGAAATTAGCAGACATAGAACCCCCTCCCCCAATTTTCAATCGCTTGTACAACGAGCTTTATAAATAAATAGGAGCCAAAAATCAGTTAACAACTCTGTGTGAGTGATCTTTATACTTGCTCTCTGATCTAACTACAGCATGAAAAATAAGAATGTTGTAAGTAAGAATTTTCTAGCGTTCACAATTTTGGTGCATCACGGCCCAGTGTCACTAAACATTCACATGTTCAAAATTCTCTGCTGATTTATATCAAAAATTAGACCATTTTGACGTTATGTACAACAATCAGATAATTTCAACTTGGTAGGTATGCTTTATTTGTGCATTTGAATTCATTTTGAAGATATTACTTCAGTATTTCAGGCCTAAAGTGCAAAGAGCATACCTATTATCGCCCATTATTGATTAGAAGTTTTTTGTTTTTCTGTTTTTTTTAAAATCTTTTTTACTCAAAATGAAGCTATAAATCTTCACATATAACTCAATTGTCTCTGGGTAATCAAAAACGATAAATTATTGAAAGACTGCAAAAATTTTACTCAAAGTTTGGAGGTTTGCATAATTGCCAGAAAGGGTGGGTTCGAATTTTTTAGGCAAGATTTGGGGGGGGGGGGGTTCGCACGAGCCCTACGAACCCCCTCTCCCTACGGCCTTGTAATCAATCTACATGTACAATAGTGTCCCTTTAAGATATGTTAAGTCACGTGATCATAGCAGTGACGTCATTGGTCAGTTCTGAAATAAATTACAGTTGTAGTTGAAGCGTTGTCTTGTTCTCATAAGTTCTCCCAGAATACTCGGCAGTTAAGACATGATGGCAGCGGAAACTAGTGGCATGGTCTATATGAAGCCTTAGAGACAGTGTGTAGACTACGTTTAACTGTATAATTTATGTGTATATGGCGAAATCTGGGTGCAAAGATCGCAATCAGAACTCATTATTCAATATGGCAGCCCAGGTTCATCTCCATGTGGAATATTGCAAGTACACCCGCACTAGGAAGTGACGTAGTACTGAGCGCATGCGCATAGCAAGACAAAATATTATCACCCATACTCGGAAGTTTGCAGAACAGTATTTGGATTATATGTAACTTATTATACGATTATATCGGATTATATCTTCCCAAAAAGACACAATGGCTAAGTTTAGTCCCCCTGACAAGTTCGAATTTGACAAGCCGAATTCATGGTTGGACTGGAAGTCGAACTTCAAACGTTTTAGATTGGCAACTACAATCAAATTTTTTATTCTGTCAATCAGTTCATATGGTTAGAATAAGGAAAGAATGTGATGTAACCACGTGTCTACTTACTAGCTTGTTCTATGTCATCCATCGGACTAGGTTACATCGTGGAACGCAGCCGAACAGGACGCTGAAGGCAACAGCATATCTATCTTGATCTTAGCCGAATTTTTGGAAATTTAGATCGTCCATTTTGCAAGCTCACGTGACTGACACGTGACACATGTCTGATCACGTGACTAGTTACTGTATCGATCATGTGACTTTATCACGTGTCAATGACGTGTCACCCAATCATGTCTTCAAGGAAATCGGAAGTAAATATTTTGGAAAATGTTTTCCGAGCATTTGCTACTGATTATAAAAGGCCCAATTACGCAACGAACGAAACTGCTAGATTGTTTTCGTGCCTAACATGCGCAGTACGCAATGAAAGAATCTGCTAAATTGTATTTTTAGAGCTGTTTATTGATCTATTGATTCATAAAGACCTGTAATGATGCATTAAAATAAGACCGCCTCCTAAATGAAAACAGTACACATAAGGTGGTGAAAAAACAACGAACTAAAGTTAAAAGATCGCAACGTTCGCTACTTTGTTCAATTCCGGAAATCTCCAAGGGGCTGCAAATGGGAAATTATTTAGATTTAGATTTTATAACCTCAGAATACTGGCGTCATTGTCGTGTTTGGCTGCGTTCCACGATGTAACCTAGTCCGATGGATGACATAGAACACGCTAGTAAGTAGACACGTGGTTACATCACATTCTTTCCTTATTCTAACCATATGAACTGATTGACAGAATAAAAAATTTGACTGTAAGCTCCACAAAGAGGACGATGATGTCCAAGTTGCAGGACTGTTATATTCAATGGGAATGGAAGCCGATAAAATCTACAGAACATTTGATTTTCCTCCTGTTGTGGGTGAAGATGGTAATGAACTTCCAAATATTACTTTTGACATTGTTGTTGAGAAATTTGACACCTATTTCATGCCTAAAATAAACATTTTTCATGAGGAACTTCTATTTGACCAACGTAGTCAAAATGAGGGTGAGTCGGTGGAAAGCTTCATCCGAGATTTATATCATCTCGCCGACAAATGTGATTTCGATGATAAGGATCGCAGAATTAAAGTTCGCTTAGTAAATGGACTTGCTGATAAAAAGTTAGCCATGGAGCTACAAATGAAAACATTTACTTTGGAGCAGATTATTCAGAAAGCTCGTTATCACGAATTGATTAAGCAGCAAAACCAAGATGCTGAATTAGATTCTGTAGCCAGACAGAAGTCTAAGAAATCCACATTCCGATTTCGAGGTGATAAATCAACTTGCACACGATGCAAAGGTGATCATAATAACGATAAATGTCCAGCTATCGGAAAAACCTGTTTCAAGTGTAACGGAAGAGATCACTTCAGCCGAGCCTGTCGCAGCAAGAAAGGCGTGTCTAAACCCAGAGGTCAAGAGCAGCCAAAAGCAGCTCGGAAAAAGGTACTGACTGAAGTAGTTCATAGTGAGATTAATAATGATGAACCATTAGTGCATGTTATTGACGAAGTGGATGTAAAATACAAAGAATACAATGATCCTGAGAGATACATTAAACCATGGAGAGTTATGCTTCCATTAAATAAAAACTTGATTGACTTCAAAATAGACACTGGAGCGGATGTTACAGTGATAAGCTACTCGAAATATCTGCAGATGGAAAATGCTCCACCACTAATACCTACTGATTGTGAGCTTGGAAGTCCTGGTGGACGTCTTAAGGCTAAAGGCCAATTCCTAGCCAAGCTTAAAGACAATGTATATTTACGTGTGTATGTTGTCAAGGAAAAAGTTGATAGTTTATTAAGTAGAAACGCATCAGTGAAACTTGGCTTGATTGAGTTGACAAATGTAAATGTACAGGAAATAAAATCTGAAAATGTACAATTTGGTAAAAATGAGAGTGTGAAAAATGTACAATCTGAAAAGATACAATTGGGTAACAATGTGAAAAATCTCAAATTGCCTGTCAGTGATCATGTTGCAAATGATTTGTTTGGTAATGATGGCAAATATAAAGGTAAGCTTGTGGATATTCAACTCCAAGATAATGCAACTCCATACTCAGTCAACACTCCTCACAGGGTACCATATCCCTTATTAAATGATGTAAAACAGGAGTTAGACCTTATGGAGTCGGAGGGTAAGATCCGCAAGGTTACTGAGCCAACTGAATGGTGTAGCCCAATGATCCCTGTAAAAAGGAAACCTACTAAAGCTGGTAAAGCCAGAATAAGAATATGTGGTGATTATCGTAAACTCAATAAACAGATAAAACGAGAGAGATATACAATGCCAACTACTGATTCAGTTTTCAACAAGTTATCAGAGTGTACTGTTTTCAGCACATTAGATTTCAGTGGCTGTTTTCATCAGTTTTGTCTGTCTGAGAAAAGTCAATTGTTAACCACATTCATGACTCCTTTTGGTAGATATTGCTATACCCGTTTACCTAATGGTGTTTCCTTAGCGCCGGAAATATGTCAACGTGAAATGTCGAATTTGATTCGTGAGATACCGCAATGTGACGTTTTCATGGATGATGTCATAATTGGTGGGAAAAATGTCAATGATCATGACCGAATATTAGCTATGGTTCTTGAGAAAATTCATAGTGTTCAGATGAAACTCAACTTAGACAAATGTGTGTTTAGAAAATCTGAAGTTGGATTTGTGGGTCAAATCGTCGGAAAAAATGGTGTAAAACCCAATCCGGATCGTGTTGAAGGTATCCTAAAGATGGAGCCACCGGAAAATGTGGATGAGTTACGTACATTTTTAGGCGGAGTTAATTATCTTGGAAGATATCTGAAAAATCTGTCTACAATGTTATATCCGCTTAATGAATTGCTCAGAAAAGATACTGTTTGGAGATGGGATCAAGCTCAGATTAAAGCCTTCAGTGAGGTAAAACAAGCTTTATCTCAAGCCCCAACTCTCAAGATTTATGACTCAAAGTTGGAGACAATGGTAAGTGCAGACGCTAGTTCTTACGGAATAGGTGGCGCTGTATTTCAAAAACACAATAATGATTGGTGTCCTGTTGCATATGTGTCGCGAACATTAAATGATGCGGAAAAACGTTACTCTCAGATCGAGAAAGAATGTTTGGCAGCCGTGTGGACGTGTGAAAGGTTAGATAGATATTTGATCGGTTTGGAATCTTTCAAATTATTATGTGATCACAAGCCATTGATTCCTTTGTTCAATGATAAAGACATAGATAAAATTCCAATCAGATGTCAAAGATTGATGCTGAGATTCATGAGATTCAATGCTATTGCTGAGCACAAAAGTGGTAAAGATTTAGTAGTTGCTGACTTATTGTCACGTAAACCGCTCAAGTGTTCTCTTGAAAATGAAAAAGATGTGCAAGCAGTTGAATATCATGTTAGCTCAGTGATGTCTGGAATACCGGTAACATCAAATCGTATGGATCAAATACGTGAAAAATCAATTCAAGATAGTGAATTATCATTGGTTATTGACTATACATTGAATGGATGGCCAAAGTATTACAGTGAAATTCCTGATAATGTTAAAAGATACTATGAAGCACGGGTTAGTCTGTCTGTGCAAGATGGGTTATTACTCTATGGTGATAGAATTGTAATTCCAAGGTCATTGCATGATGATATATTGAGTAAAATTCATCAAGGTCATTTTGGCATAAATAAATGTTGTGAGCGTGCCAGAGCTAGTGTTTGGTGGCCAGGTATCAGTGAAAGAATAAAACAAATGGTAAATCACTGTGAACATTGCCAAGTGTATAAACCAACTAATGTAAAACAACCTCTGATTTCAACACCATTACCCGATAGACCGTGGCAAAGAATTGGTGCTGACATGTGTCAATATGCAGCTAAGCAATTCCTGGTGATAGTTGATTATTTTTCAAGATTTATGGAAATTTTGAATATTCCAGGAAGTGTTACAGCTAGCAAGATCATAAACAAAATGAAAGCAATTTTTGCTCGCTTTGGGATATGTGAAACCTTAGTAACTGATGGTGGACCGCAGTTCACAAGTTTAGAGTTCAAAAACTTTGCCAGAGACTATGGGTTCAAACATGTATTTAGTAGTCCTCATTACCCCCAGGCTAATGGGATGTCTGAAAGATTTGTGAAGGCTGCTAAGCACATATTGAAAACAGAAGATCCTTTACTCTCTCTTATGGCACATCATGCAACTCCTTCTGCATCTACAGGTTTTACTCCAGCACAAGTGATGCTTGGGAGACAAATACAAACTCCATTGCCAACTATTTCAAGCAAATTAAATCCTGATCCTCTCAACTATGACAAGTTAAGATCAAATGATGAAAATGCAAAAATGAGATATTGTAAATACTATGATAAATCAGCTAGAGCTTTACCACAGTTGAAACCAGGTGATAATGTTAGAATCAAACTAGATCATCAATCTACCTGGAGTGAACCTGGTAAAGTTGTAAGCAAGGGTACTACTCCTAGATCCTATATTGTGGAACACGATGGTGCTATTTACAGACGTAACCGAAAGCATTTAGCTAAAACATTTCATAAAATACCAGATCCAGTGGTTACATCTGAACCTAGTCAATACAATACTGATATGAATACAGGAGAAAATTCAAGGAATTTTTCTGATACTTCAGAATCTATAAATGCAAGTCATTCTGATATTAAGCCTACTGGTTCTCAGGTATCTCAGAAAATACATTCTCCTATTTCAAAAGTTAATACTCCAAGTAGAGTTATTCAAACCAGATTGAGAAGTGGTGTTTCAGTTATGAAGCCAGTAAGATACAGAGACAATTAAAACTGGTTATTTACTTATTAAACATGTTTAGAGACATTTTTATAATTGATATTTTAGTGAATATCAGTTTAAGTCATAAGTGAAGTTTAATAACATGAGATTCAGTTGTGTTATTATTGTACATGTTGTAAGTAACATAAGAAAGTAAAAAGTTGTATTGTTGAGTAACATTTTATTGATTTGTATACATAAACATGTATATTCTACATAGTGAAGTAGTGACATCTATAATACTGTGAAAAGTTTAAATTGCAATAGCAAGCACACTAGGCAAATGTATGTGATGTATAACTTTTATGTTTAAGTGGAAGATGTCATAATATATACTGTAATCAATCTACATGTACAATAGTGTCCCTTTAAGATATGTTAAGTCACGTGATCATAGCAGTGACGTCATTGGTCAGTTCTGAAATAAATTACAGTTGTAGTTGAAGCGTTGTCTTGTTCTCATAAGTTCTCCCAGAATACTCGGCAGTTAAGACAATTAAAAAGACAATGACGGGTAGTAAATTTAAATATGTTAACTGTAATTCAAATAGGGCTTTCTTTTCCAGTGAACAATATGATAAGTATATTTCTTTCACTGCAGTACAATTCTGTGAGGTGTTAAGCTTTCTTTTTGATAATATATTTGTTAAATTTGGAAATACAGTTTTTCGTCAGAATGTAGGTATACCAATGGGTACAGATTGTGCTCCTCTTTTAGCAGACCCTTTTCTATTCTCGTATGAGTATGAATTTTTACAAAGGATGATGAAAGATAAAAGTAAATTTCATATTGTAAAGTTATTTAATAAGACAGATCGATATATTGATGACTTGTTAAGTTTAGACAACCCAAAATTTTGACTTTGTAGGTGAGATATATTCTACTGAGCTAGAATTGAAAAGACTAATGAATCTGATATGAGTGCACCTTATATTGATCTTCTTATTAACATTGAACGAGACTGCAGTATATTTTGTAAATTATATGACAAAAGAGATGACTTTAATTTTGACATTGTTAATTTTCCACTTTTGGATAGCAATATTCCACTAAACCCAGCGTATGGTTTTTTTTGTATCCCAGCTTATTAGATATAGCAGGGCGTGTTCAAAATATCTAGATTTCAAATCAAGACACCGTATTTTAGGGATCAAGCTGTAAGGTCAAGGTATACTTGTAAAAAACTTAAGAAATCCTCTCTGGGCTTTGCTGAAAAGTACAAGTCATTAATTTCGAAATTTCAGGTATTACCACTTGAGATGCTGAAGGATGTAGGAATGGTATAATAAATTGGCAATGAACTCACAAATTTTTCACTTGGCACCTTTTGATGGCATTAATGAATGAGAAATAGGGATCGAAACCAGCCATAGTTTGCTCCTGATGACCCTTGTGAATTGTTGTGTTTTATGGATTATGATGACGGCTTTGCGAACGGATGTTGGTGACCCTCTGAATTGCCTATGGACTTCGAGACTGGATTTTATCTATCCCACGTCATTTGAGACTGAATACTCTATCTTTTATGAGTACTAGTATCTACAACTATTTTTGATGTTATGAGTATTGGTTATCAATTTTCTCAAATTTTCTTTAACATGTGTTGTAATGACTTCAGTATGAATGAAATGTCCCTTGGTGTTCTGGACCTGGATTGTGATATTAGTTCTCGATTGGAGGGGGATATGTAACAAGATCGTTGAGGAAGCGTTTCAAAGTTGGTCACAAACGACCCATGTTCCAAGGATTGTCGTATTTATACCTAAAATTATGCGGACAGACATAACACAATACTGTAAACTGTAATGTTTTGGGAAATGTGACATCGTACATTATGATTATTTTTTGAAGACAAGTAGAACTGCAGCAATCGCATTTTTGTGAAAATCATGATTTTACAATTCGGAATATTTGCATTATGGTCTGAAACTACAATTGATGGTTCCTTCGATTTGAAAATGTGGATTAAGGAACACAGAAACTTGCTCTCATTAAAGTATTTGGTAATTATAAGTATACGCCCATGGGTCAGTCTCGTTGAGCAGAAATATTCCAAATATGCACATGCGTCAAAGTGAAACTCGAAAATTGTTACAAAACATACTAGTAAATCGTTAAACCCCAAATATCCAAAAGTATGATCTAATGTGTAAATTAGGGGGATATGTTCTGGGAGGTTTTGGATATGGAGTTTATCCAGAGGGAGATATGCACATCTATCTAAAGGATCGCAGGGACCAAAGGTACATGTAGATGTGCATATATCACGAGGTATCAACCTCATATCCAAACTGACCGCACATAACTGTTTTATCCTACACCCAGGAGAGTTTTTTAATTCTTTTAATTTTGTCAATTTCACCTATTTTTTTCAAATTCCAAAATTGTTATTCAATTTTTTCAAAATTCTTTTTTCAACTTTTTTCTATTATTTTTTTGTACACTCAGCGACTTGTGCATACCTTTTTATTCAAATTGTAATAATTATATTATGAAAATAAATATAACATAACATAACTGTATATAATTGACATATAGCGAAAATATTTTAACTTAAAGGAAATGAGTATCTCACCAATTTGATAAAATGACGGTCTTGCCATGTTGTGGAATTCTGCCTTCCTTGATTTCTGAAATTACACACACATATATGAATAATATAAAAATGAAACGATCGGTGATTACAATAATCCATTGTAGTAAATCAAGTATATTGCAAATAATTATCAAGGTCACACCATACCTTAAATTTTTTTCTCTTCCTCGGTTAAGTCTCTTTAAAATTGGATGATCTTGCTTTGGTTAAGAGTCCATCTCTATTACATGTATATGTTTGCATTTGCCCGTCTGCATTATTACGATAGTATACACTGATTTATATTTTTATCATTCCAACCGATGAACTTTGAAATTCTAAGAAATAAACTGAATATGTATGTTATCTACGTAATAACGTTAACGCCCAATAAACCATAAATTTAATGCTTATACTTTACTCTTACTATCTCTTACTAACGAGATATGACGAAATGGGTAAACATGATTAATTCTTGATTGCATTGCAATGACTTAATTTGTTAACGTAAACATTTCAAAGGACTTGCTTTTTATATGCCAAACACATGTGGCAAAGGTTATCTTGGTGAAATAAAATCGTGATACCTGGTACCGTGATATTGGTGTCTCTACAGAACAGCGTTTGGTTAAGACAGTGTGTGCCTATTTTATCCCATAGCGTTTTGCAGGTCCGTAGCCAGTTTAGAAAAAGGGGATTCACTTGGCAAATAAATCAAGGAGTTCCTTTCGACAACTTTGGCCCAAAATCACATAAAATGTGCTCTGAATGATAAACACTGCATGATTTTTAAGACTGTTTGGCCAGGGGTACCCCAAAACCCCCCAACTACGAGTCTGATTTTACCTCGCCATCGAAATAAAAGTGAACCTACCCTAATCAATTCACTCATACACCCCCTCCGTAAGTTTGGAAACAAGAACTGCCTATTTGATAGCGTCTTTAATCATGTAGATATACGATCGTTTGGAAAGGATCAATACCCATAAGAACCCAAATCTGCCCCATAAGTTTGGTTTGATTGAAAAACATAGAAATGGTAATTCAGTTCATTTGAATTTAACTTTTCTAAGTCATTGTAAGTTGTCATTTAAGAGGCATTGTTGTATTCACTCGTGGCAATTTTAAATATATTAAACATCGTTAAGGTAGAACACAAAGGACAACATATTGAAAACACAAATCATAAGATAACCCCTAAAACTTAAAATATCATATGATGAAATAAGTATTGATAAAAGTTTTCTGAGTAACACAATCACCTCAGTTGGTATATTGTAGCGTTAACCTATGTATTGAACCTAAAGGATATATCAAAATATCATTAAGGTACAAGGGGCGATCAACAAATAACGCAAATAGAGCCCTATCTCAGAAACTAATTGGAGTTAGAACACCAAATTTAATACGTAGTATCACCAAATATTCATTATTATTGCAACAAAATCTGAGGCACAAATATTACTTTATGTCAGAGTTACGGTTGCCATAGAAACCCATGGTATGGGCAGCTGAAGCAGGTCGTTAATCATAACAATAAGCTATTTAACGTCTGTCCAAAATGAGTTTGAAAGACAAATTTGAATTTTTTGATGTTATTTGGGTGTAAATCAATTCTGAAAAGTTTCTATTAATTGATGTGATCTACTTTTAATCGTTATTTCATAATGCCTATCCACAGACCCAACAATAGCTTTGTAATTAGGCTAAACATGTCGATACCCAACGATAAGATGACAGAAACCACAAGCATTGAGGAAATCAAAGTCAAGTCAGCCATACTGAAAAATGGTAGAATTGAAAACTTCAGTCTTCAGACGTCCATAGAAGACAGAGAGAACTGATATAATGCTGTATTTTGAATGAAAGGTCACTGCAAAAGACTTATGAGATGCTAAATAAGTCATTTGGTAATGAAAATGGACTAAGCAATGTCTACAGATGGTACAGAACGATTTCTGAAAAACCAAGAAGATCTGCTGAGGATATGCTTCCCGTATAGGTGCTCCAAAAACAACACGCATAGCAGAGATGATTAAAGAAGTAGAGCAGCTGGTTATGGTTGATAGGACTGTTACTACTTAACATGAACTGGGCATGAGTTATGAGTCTGAAAATGATTGTTAAAAAAACTGTGACATCACATATTTGAGGCATTTCGGGTGCCCACAACTTGGGTTACCGTATGCTAAATCCTTATTGTTACTTAATATTCAAGACCTGCTTCGGGTACCCATACCACAGGTTACTATGGTAATTGTTATTTTGGCATATATCAATGTTTGTGCCTGAAACTTTCTTGAAATATTAATGAATGTTTGGTGATACTATGTATCAAGTTTAGTGTACTAACTCCAATTAGTTTCTGAGATAGGGCTCTATTTGCGTTATTTGTTGATCGCCCCTTGTAGATCACAAGTAAAGGGGCGATATATTGAAAAGACAAAACCTATAGGTATTCAACTTAAAATATGGTAAAAGACTCAAATGTATATTAATATTTTTATCTGACATCGTCAAAGAATATTATGAATAGATAATTGACTCTCCAAGCATTGTTTTTTAAAATAGGTATTTCGCAAAAAAACATGCATGCAGCAGGGGAGCTATGATCATGTAGGCACTGGAGTAAAAGGTTTATTTTGAACCTTTAAACTCATATATTTATGATATGTAACTTACACTTCGCTTCGATAGGCCTTGGCTGCATTTTTGAACAACCCGCGGCGCAAGTAAATTATGTAATATTTAATGACGGACGGCTTTCCTAATATTCCCTTCATAGTTCGTTTTGTATGATAATTAAATGTATTGCATGTCAACATGTACTTCTAATATTCATATACGAAAACAGTATTTACCTCACTCGGCACTTGAAATTAATCAAACTGAAAACATGTTCTTATCGTATATAATATATTGGTGTAATAAAACTCTTTATAGTTGAGCAAGCGTGATTATGCTAATCAATTTAAACTAAATATGAATATGTACAAATTACAAAATAATGTCAATTTTCTTAAATTCTTTGATCATTAATTAGAACACACGATCGAAAGCATCCTAAAAGTTTAGTTCATGGCATGAAACTGCTAACGTCTAATGAAGGAGCTGATAGCACACTATAGTACGGAGATATTTGACCTTATATTTACATACCTCCATACACTCCCCTCCATAAGTTTGGCAACCTTAGCTCCCCATTGAACTACGTGTTAAGCCTCTTTACGTTTGAATTTTTATTTACTTAACATGCGATGAAATAACTTTTAATATTGATGGAAACTTAACTTAATTTTATTTCCAATACCTCCAACTTTTCTCAATTGTTTTCCTCAATTACAATAGGTCAAAAATTGATGATAAATTTGATGGATTTTTGAAAATCGTCATTCCCATGTAATCCAGTGGGAAATAGAGGGTTCGGGGCAAATCAGAAATCAGGATATCTTTTCAGTAAAAGATTCAGCAAAAATATCTTTATATAGAAAATTGATTTGGCTAACTTTTTTGTACACTAAGTTTTTAGTTTATTTGATGAATACTAAAGTTACAGCGCTTCAAATTCATCTTTGAAAATAATTTTTCGCCTCCTGTGTTATTTCAATGGGATATGATTTTGAAAAACAATTTTGACTTTGAAGCCCTATAACTTTGTTGAACCTGAAGAAACATAACAATATTTTGTTCAATAAAGTTGGATTGGAAATAAATTACGTTTTCATCAACACGTAGTTCAATGGGGGAGCAAAGGTTGCCAAACTTATGGAGGGGAGTGTATGTCCCGTATTAATTTTTATTATAGCCGTTCAATGAATTCGAACATGACTGTATTCACGCCTTCTATAAACTGTGAACAAAGTCAATATTTCACCCGGGGTATATTCGCGAACAAAACCCCTGGTGATATGAAAATGTCTGACTTCATAACCGAGGGCTCTAGTAATGGCGGATCATAATGAGTATTCGAAACATGTTGGTGAGTTTTCATGTTCGAATCGTAATATAGACCTCAGAGCAGGGGTAACCTCGTCGAATACATCCTTTGGGACAAGACACAAAAGCATTTCGAACCCCTCACTCCCTTTGGTCGTTCGGGATACAGAAAACGTTTGTGCCTAAACCAGCGGGGTGTATTCGACAATATTACCCCTGGTCTTTGGTCTATATTTCTAAATTGGAACATGACTGCATTCACGCTTTCTATAAACACTGAACAAAGTCAACATTTCACCCGGGTTATATTCGCGAACAATACCCCTGGTAATACGAGTAATGTGTGACGTCATAACGGCAGGCCGTAGTGATGGCGGATCATAATGAGTATTCAAAACATTTTGGTGAGTTTTCATGTTCGAATCGTAATATAGACCTCAGAGCAGATGTAATATCGTCGAATACAACCCTTGTGGCTAGGCACAAAAGCTTTCAAACCCCTCACTCCCTTCGGTCGTTCGGGGGAAAGAAAACGTTTGTGCATAGCCTTGCAGTCTGTATTCGTCAATATAACACCTGCTCTTCAGTCTATATTTTTGAAATGAAACGTAATTTGACTTTCTTTCTAATATCTCCAAATTTTCTCAATTTTTTTCCTTAATTGCGATAGGTCGAAAATTGATGAAAAAGATGAATTTTGAAAATCGACATTCCCATGTTAACCAATGGGAAATGGTAGGTTTGCCGCAAGTCATATGATAGAATATCCGTCCATCAGAGTCCTTGCAAAAAATACGAGTTAGGCAATTGAATTTGCCAACTTCATTTAACAAAAAATCGATACGTTTCTTTAGGATTTACAAAGTTATAAATTGTTTTTCAAAAAACCTCTCCCATTGAAATAACACAAGAGGCGAAAAATGATTTTCAAAAATGACTTTGAAGCTCTGTAAGTTTAGTGTTCATCAAGTAAACTAAATACTTAGTGTACAAAAAAGTTAGACAATTCAATTTTCTACATAAACATATTTCTTGCTGAATCTTTTACTGAATAGATATCCTGATTTCTGATTTGCCCCAAACCCACCATTTCCCATTGGTTTACATGGGAATGACGATTTTCAAAAATTCATTAAATTTATCTTCAATTTTCCACCTATTGCAATTGAGGAAAAAAATTGGGAAAATTTGGAGGTATTCGAAATAAGGTCAAGTTACGTTTGCATTAATATTATAAGTATTTTCATCGCCGGTTAAGTAAATAAAAATTCAAATGTAAAGAGGCTTTAACACGTAGTTCAATGGGGGAGCTAAGGTTACCAAACTTATGGAGGGGAGTGTAAGTTATTAAATGATTTGAAGTGCAAACAGGATATATTGTGCTCGGGAAATTCTGTATTGGCACGAGATTAAATCGAGTCTAAATGAAGTCCCCATGATGATAAAAATATCAATTGTATATGTATATTGTATGTGTTTTGTGAAATAAACAAATTGAAATTGAAAATTGAAATTGAAAATTGAATCGAACAATTCGAAAAGTTATAAATATTCAACAATTTTTTTACATTGTTTTTGCAGGTTATTTTCCCCCAAAACACGGAACATTTTGCATTGTTTCTCAAATAGTGGTGAAATACAGGGTGACCGGAAAAAAGGAGACCATTGAAATAGGCAATATCTCCTAAAATAGACTAGTGACATCAATGAAATTTTGCATACATCAGGACAGTTCTATGGAAATTTGTTCCTGAAAGTGTCAATACAAGCAGTCAACTGGTTCAGGAGCTATGATCATTTAAATAACATGCTCCAAATAGGCGCAATTGAGACCAACGCAGAGCTGGATACATTTGGCAAATACCCTTACATATTCCGACCTTGTTATGGCATTACATTTAGCATTTATTGCCACCTTTAGGTCAGCAATTGTCTCAGGATTGTTTTGGTACACATTGTCTTTCAAATTGCCCCACAAAAAGAAATCAGGTGGATTCAAATTTGAGGTGTATGGAGACGAAGCTTATCTGACCTATGGCTTCTGACTCAGTGGTCCCACTCAGTTACAGTATCATCCTAAGGAGGTTTTGGGCAGCCCTTGGTTTCCATATTGGATTTAATTGTGCCATATAGTGGTTTTAGTAACATGGCACTATGCCCAATACCTAAAGTGACTCTTAAGATTGGGTAAATCAGCACTTTGGCAACAGGATGATGAACCACATGTCAGATAACCCTTCATTGCCATTACAGCCTAGACTTGAATCCTGCTGATTTCTTTTTGTATGGATATTTGAAAGACAATCTATACCAAAACAATCCTCAGACTATTGTTGACCTAAAGAAGGCAATCACTGCTATATGTAATGCCATAATAATGCCATAGAGGGCAGAACATGTAAGGGTAGTTTGCCATATGAATCCAACTCTGCGTTGGTCTCAATTGTGCCTATTTGGAGCATGTTATGTAAATGATCATAGCTCCTGAACCAGTTGAATGCTTGTATTGAAACCTTCAGTAACAAATTTCCATATAACTGTTCCAGTGTATGCAAAATTTCATTGATGGCACTTGTCTAGTTTAGGAGAAATTGATTACTTCAATGGTCTCCTTTTTTTCCGGTCACCCTGTAGATGCTAAACAAGAATCACTTATATTACAATGGCATATGCTAAAATTATGTTCGTTTCTCCAAAATTGATCTTATAAACCGTATTTTACGCATTGCGTAGTTTTGTTGATCAATGACATTGTGGGTATTGAGTTTTGTTGTCGTGCCAAACTCCGATTCAAAGGGTCATCAGCTTCCTTTAATTCCTTTAATTTGTCTATCTTATGCTTTATCCCATCTGTTGTTTAATCCATCGTCTTCTACACAATGCTATGTTTGGCCATCAAAATTATAGTCAGTGAAGTGCTTCATTTCGAATGTTTTGGTTTACATTCTTCCAATGGATAAACTGAACGTTGGCCTCTTGATAGAATACTGCAAAATAGAATCAAAAGAATTATAATATACATTGCGCATACAATAGCCCCGTTACACAATCACTAGCTCTTTCTTAATTACGTCGTTCTTAAAAACATTGCCAAAAAATTAAACGGGCTTAGCTTGTATGCAAACGGTTTGGACGTACATAGTTCCGAATTTTACTATCGTTTTACTTCATGGATATGCTCTGAGTTTGCTTAACATTTTCTGACGGCCATCCCACTCTGCAATAGACCTTGCCAATTAATCATGACCCCTTTTGTTAAACCAAGGAAACTAGGGTTTATAGGCTAGATTTATGAAACTGTAAGAATGACATCATAATAACCAATGGATGGCAGGACTAACTAGTTAGCATTAATGGTTATTTACTTGTACATTGACTTTAATGTTGAAATAGATGTCGCATCACACATCATTGGTCAGTATCAAGATGCGGTAACGGCTGTTACCTTATCATCTAAGATGGTGGACGGAAAGTGTCGATTTCGATATTTTGGTTTACGTCGAATTAAACTACTATATAATTGACGTAATGCTTTGATATTTGAACTTGATAAGCCTTATCACAGGCTGGTATCGAAATATTTGTCCGCTGTGACGGAGCATGCTATTTTTCGTAAAGACACTAAGAATAATTCACGATTTATTTTTTAACTCATATGTTTCGTTATACCATACAAAATTACTTACTCCATGCAATGGATATATCATTTGCGGGTAACTTTCACTTCTGTTCGAAGTCCAATTACGCTGGGAAGAAAAGCTATTGAAAATGGCGCCGGAGTATCATACTTCAATATGTACCATTTCTTGTTTAACTTTCTAATGGCACGATATAGTGACACGATAATATTTACACATGGTTTCAGCATAACTATGAAGGTATAAATGAGATGCTGATGTATTTGGTCTTTTTAATTCTTTTATAAAAAATAATGTTTAATTCTTTTGTCCGCTGTGACGGAGCAGTTGCAAATGTGAACTGTGAAAATGCTCCGTCACAGCGGACAAAAAATATTAATATTATTTTTTATTAAAAAAATTAAAAAGACCCAATGCATTAATATCTCATTAATACATTCAGCGTTATGCTTAAAACATATGTTAATATTATCGTGTCACTATATCATGCCATTAAAAAGTTAAAAAAGAAATGGTACATTTTAGAGTTTGATACTCTGGCGCCGTTTTCAATAGATTTTACTCCTTGCGTTATTGGACTTCAAACAGAAGTGAAGGTTACACGCAAATGATATATCCATTGCATAAAGTAAGTAATTATCTTTGATAACGAAACATATGAGTTAAAAAATAAATCGTGAAGCATTCTTAGTGTTTTTATGAAAAATAGCATGCTCCGTCACAGCGGACAAATCTTTCGATACCAGCCTGTGCTTATATATCATGAAAACTTTTGAGTATGACAATTTTTTCTTGAATCATACGGGGGCGCCATGATTCATCTATATGTTATACCGCTTAAGAGAAGGTAACTAATCTGGGACATCTATTGAATGGCATCTTATCTTATGCTCAAGGATAAATGCTACACTTTCTAACAAGAGGAGGGAAAACCCAATGATTCAATTGATGACATACGATTTCCTCCTTCGCGCACCTCCTTTCCTGGAAGTACTTACGCTCCATCTTGGTTTTCAAAGTTTCCAAATTGACCTAGTTTTAAACCAATAAACGATCGACTCGCTAAACCAATCAGCGACGATGTCATCTCAATACTGATTTACATTATAAGCGTATGTCATCTTTGAACCCTGGGGTTTCTCCCCTCTTCTTTCTAACCGTAGTGTACAAAAAGTGCACATTATAGCGAAGTGCATCATTTTTGTCTGAAACAAAAATATATATATTATTAACTTCATATCGTGACCACATCATCTTGGAAACGGACGTGTCAGTTATCGTATTATGCACTTCCAGTTACCAGCTTCCTTTAAGCGATATAACATATATTTGAATTATTGCGTCCACGTATGATTTACGAATAAACGGCCATACTCCAAAGTTTCCATAATATGTAAGGCTTATCAAGTTCAAATACAGCATTACGTCAATTATAAAGTAGTTTAATTCGACGAAAACCAAAAATATCAAAATCGACTCTTTCCGTCTGCCATCTTAGATGAGAAGGTAACGACCGTTACCGCATCTTGATACTGACCAGTGACACATACGTTTAATCTTTGATAAAGCCGTCAGAGGCGTGGCATTGTGAACAAAATTGGAACTTTTTACGTTCATACGAATTTCGTGCACGTACTTGTTCTGGAAGACGCTCTCAAGAACTTATAGAGTTTGCTCATGTTTTGCCCAGGGGGGGGGGAGATCTTCCAAAGTTCAGCCTTTCATATTCGATCACGAGGTATCCATGTGCTAGATCCATATAAGGCTTACATGACCAAATAGGAATCAAACTGACCGTTGTCCGCCATTTTGAATATCATGTGATAGATCCATTTAAGACTTATATGACCATATGGGATGGCTAAGGGGAATCCCCAAATACGATAGAATATGATAGTATTATGGGAGCTACTCACTTCTTCTGTGTTTTGCCCATACTTTCAAATTAAAATAAATTTTCCGAGGGACAGGGCACTTGTTATTTTAGACTTTTGTAACGAACTGGCATTTCAGATAGTTTAACCCCGATCACAGCCCATTTTACGACTTTCTATGACTGGGTTAGACACTTTATTCATTTTGGGAAGAACTATCAGCGTCAGCAACAAACACAATCGCATGATGAACTTAAGATTGTTGTGCAGATACTGAATTTAGAGGTAAGTATAAGGTTCCATGGAGCTAGGACTCCCATTCGAAGCCTTAATTATTATAAGCCCATTGAGAATGAAAGTATAAAACTAGTGGTATCAACCCTGTATTAATTAAATTAGAAGGGATCAGAAATCCCCGAAATTGTGATATAATACGTTCGCGATCGATTTCTCCCAAATGCTCTTTTAATTCTTCGAAAATTATGTAAGCTTAAGGGTTTATATACTCACATCTTTATTTGTGTCAACACAGTCGAGGCGCGGGAAGAAATCATTGAAATCCTTTTCAAGGCTACGTTGTAGGCCGTCACTTGGGTTGTATTTCCCTTGCATTCCACCATCTTTGCTATATTCATCATTAGAGTATGTCTTGTTGTCATACATCCCGGAGATCTGTTACGTGAATAGCATTAAAATAATGAATAATCCAGCCTACCCACGAACGAAATAAATGTCCATAAATGTGAATATTTTGAATCTTGGAACGGACATTGCAAATATGTCCTACTGTATTATATTAGATAAAATGGATCAATTTAGAAGTTGATGTAATTTATCTCACGACAAGTTGTCCGGCCCTGATGAATAATATATTAAGAATGAAATTCGCCTTGGGAGATTTGCTATTATTAGGATCGAAAGAGTACTCCTTAAATTATTTGAAGGTTAAAAGCTAAGAGGTTTGTTTTACAAATAAAATCGAACAATTCATCATAACTGTTTGTTGCCGCATATAAGTCAATCTCACCTCTCTCTCATATAGACGTCTGTTGTCGTACAAGTCCCGTCCATCTCGTTCACGTTCAAAAGATTGACTGCCTTGATCAACTCTCTGGTTAGGCGAGTTGTAGTCATCGCTAAATGACCTATTTGGTTTAGGTTCTTCACGCCTATATACGTCTGCTGGGTATCTGGCAACTCCAATATCTTGATCATCTCGCATCGTCCTTCTATTACCTCCTCTGGCAAGATCAAACCTTGCTTCCTCTTCTGCAGAGAGCGGCCTAACTGGTTGGTCTCCTTGTTTTAGCCATTTTTCGTTGCACTTTGGTGGCATGCGGTCCCGGTCGGAGGCGATCCTTCTCTCGAGGTTACTTTCATCTTGCTGACTGGAAAACACCGGCCACACTTTGGGATCGTTCGTTCGTGATGGGCCTTGATTGCATGGATCATCTTTGTAGCGTTCATCTCGATTGCGTTCGTCTCTGTAGCGTTCATCTTGGTTGCGCTCGTCCTTGTAGCGTTCATCTCGATTGCGTTCGTCCCTGTAGCCTTCATTTTGGTTACGCTCGTCCTTGTAGCGTTCATCTCGATTGCGTTCGTCCCTGTAGCGTTCATCTCGGTTGCGCTCATCCTTGTAGCGTTCATCTCGGTTGCGTTCGTCACTGTAACCTTCCTTTTGTTTGCCTTTGTCCTTGTAGGGATCATCTCGTGTAGGTTCATCAGAGTATCTATCATGCAATTAATTGTTACATCGCGTAAGATTAACTTAAAAACTTATTCGGAATAGAAATACAAGACCGAAACGCCAAATGAACAAAAAAGCACATATACACGTAGTCAAACCATATAATACGTGTTTCTATTTTGGCGTAGTGATATCATACTACATGTTCTACATACCCGTTTAGTCCTGACATTTCTTGTCGATAAAGTTCAGACAAGGGGTAGTCCTCATCTCTAAATACACAAAATTAAGTAATTATTATTAAGTATCAAATTAAATGCGTCGACAATTTAAAATTCCTGCACAAATATTGATATCCCCAAACGCAAGGCTATTAATTGTGGGGTTCAAAGCCTGTACTATTACTTGGAATATATAATATGAAACATTATAGAAAGAGGGGCGCTGATAAATCAGAATGAGGACTATTCCCCTTGTAAACAAGTTCGTATTTCCTGAAGGAAAAATAAGTTGATGGAGTTGACACCTGCATTAGAAAGATGAAATATGAACTTTTGTATATTTACTTGATGCTTGGCTTTATTTCAAAGTCGTCATCTCTATCGATATCATACAACTCTGGTGGTATAGTTTTTGGCACAGGGGGAGACCTTTTCTTAGCAGTGCACACAATCAGAATGATGATTAATATCAACATTGCTCCACCTAAACTTCCACCAACGATGGCAACTATTTGGACGTATGACTTGCATTCCCCTCCTTGTAGGTAGAAACCATCATTGCATCTGCAACAGTTAAGCATAAGTGTAATCATTGGCCGGTTGGGAACTAGCTTGTAAGAACATTATAATTCAGTCTTACGGCTTACATCCCCAGGACAACTCATCCCCTGGACAACTCATCCTTTATCACATAGAGCTAAATTGTAAAATATTGATTAGATACACATTGGATCATTCAAAATATTATTTTTCACTTTATTGACACAAAATTATGAAAGTACTCAGTTGATACCAGTCAGACGATGCCAGTAAAACTCTCATCTCTTGTCCTTAAATTACACGTCTCAATATTTTATATTGTATTTGTATTTGTATTTATTATTTATTATAGTGTCACGCCATAAAATATTACATAGTACTAAAACGATATTAAAAAACATTGGCCCTGCCGATGTCGGCATATGAGACACAACAAAAATGAACATTGAACATGAAGAAATGAATATGAACTTTAGTAACTTCATCTATGATTGCTGTGAAAAATCTTTGGATTAAAGAATATTTGAGCTATTAACAACAATCATATTATGACATGAAAGGTGCTTCTTCAATCAATGTAAATATATATAATATTGAAATTGTATATCAAAAGTAAAATTAAAATTAAATATTTACAAAAAATCACAGATTAATTGGTTGATTATCTCCTTGATAATATCATAGTTTTTTAACAATATTCTAGATTTCCCCTTCAAACCCAAAACCCATTATACATGTATTTATAACAAAAACATTTAAAAATCATTTAAATATTAAAAATGAATTGAAAATAAAACATTAAATTACTCGAACATGCCAAAGGTTGAGGATCCAGGGGATGAGTTGTCTTGGGGATGAGTTGTCTAGGGGATGGGTCGTTCAGGGGATAAGTTGTCCAGGGAATGAGTTGTCTATTGGATGATTTTTCCAGGGATGAGTTGTCCGGTTACCATAATTCAATATGGGCAATCTTCTAAGGTATAGGCATATGAGGATGTGCACGTGGAGTCTTCTAATATATAATTGTTTAAGCGCTCATGTATTCTCGGTGAAGATATATGACTTCAGTATTGTAAAACTTATATCTTACTTGCAAACCGCTGCTGCACCATTGCCACCCAAAGAACATTTTCCATTTTCACAGTCACCTTGCCGCCATTTGCCATAAGGAGTTTGTGCACACAAGCTGAAGCAAGCAAGGTCCCCATTATGTTCATAGCATCTGTGTCCATAGTCACATCGGATGAAACTGCCTCGGTTGTTACACATACTGACTACAAAAATGTGAAAATATCTCAGTGTATAATTTTTTCTACATACAATATATTTGATATGTTTGTGATATCACATGATTTTGTTAAATGAAGTTTTAGAGGAAATATCGAATGGCGAATGTCAATCTTAATAGTGACTTTCAAACCGAATACCCACTTTGTCGACAATTCAAATTTAATAATCGTATAAATTTACCCCCGTTGATCTGCTTAAAAGTCGTCTCCCGAAGATACTTCGAGTCGATCGTGAGATTTCTTGGCGTTCCAGTGATATTTGTTGTAAACGTTTGATTTCCCATTGACAGTATACTGGCAGTTAGACGATCTCTGAAGCCTCGGGTAGCATTTGGTTTGCTGAGTTCAGATAATGCGTCATATACCAGATCAAATACAGCTATTATACTACCATTCCTAAATGGAAATATTCCCGGGGAAATATTGTAGCATGTACGAAATAAATGATGCTCCGAGAATGAGCAGAAGTAGGGATGAAACATATTTACAACATAATTTTAGATACCACAATAGCTGCAATCATGTTTTTTACTTTTTGTTTTGGTTTAAAATTACCTGAAGTTTGTAATGGCACATTTAAGAAGACTACCAGTTTGGTTCAAACCTCCATCATTATGCTAAAATATAAATCACATGTACAGCCCGTGATCATTATTGGCCCCCCGTTATAATATATCAAATTATAATCAATATTTCAGAGATATTTCTGTAATAAATTATTTTTTAATAACATTTTCAATTTGTGCGTTTTTGTCCGTCCTGTAGTTTGCAATTGAAATATATGTCGATATTATGTGTCCAGAGTATGAAGCTCTGATCAATCTAAGCATTAATCAATATTAGAATAGTTATATAATAAAATTACAAAAAGTGTATATACAGGATATGAAATAACTATTTTAGCCATTCCAAAATAAGACCACCTTAAATTCAAATTAGTTATATTTTCATAATCAAGTTTTTGTAGGTTGATACGTAGGAACATATCATTTTACATAACTTACACTTTGAAACAGGATAAACCCTTTCACATCCCTTACGAAAGTTTTAAACACATTCGAAGTTGTGTTACGGAGTTGTGGATGAAAAGGTAACCCTGCCATTTTAATCGACAACGTTGGCATTTGTATTTCACTACCAGGCTCTAAAAGAAAGCAGAGTATCCAACATAAAATAGTGAAACATAAAAATTAGACCACATGACTAAAATTGACTAAAACCAAATCAATATATGCGAGGAAATTGCTCTAATAGAATATTCAGAAATGGGATTAATTATAGCAATCTTACATCTGTTCGAGGAATAGATCGAGGGACATAGTCTGGGCTTTCAATAGCAGGGGGCGAGTGTCCGAAATCGCCGTTTGTTTTCGATAATTCGCCGTTTGTTAGAAGTCAAATATTGTCTAAGTTTTGGGGGAAAATATAAGTCTTCTATAGACTATCCTTTATTTTATTCAGCGATCTTGTTTTGCACTTCCTTGTCTATGATTTGTACCTCAGTTTCGAACTGCAATGGAACTCACTATAATCGTAAGGATCACTTGATCTCATTATAGTAGTAAACACCGTCCAATGTTGTACCTGTTTGGGCTATGGATTTTAGATCACTATCTGACCACTATCATGTGCATGATAATTCAAATTCCAACCTTTGGTATAATCAGAGTTGGTTATTTTTCACTGGACATGCAGTTACATGTATGATTGATACAACTCTGTCCAACCAGTCACAGTACAGTCTACCCTGCGTCAGTGCGTGAAGAGTCTAGTTAAACTACTGAAGACGAAGAAGCTCTCTTTTAAGAAGTGAAGTCAAACGAATGCAAAGGGTAAGTACAGTCCTTCCAATGGGTGTAAAATTGTATTAATCAGTTAAAGGCCCCATATAAAGTTTAAACCACTTTGGCTTATAATTTTGTCTTATCCAATGTTATCAAAGCGTGAAATGTTAAACTTTTTATTAATTTCAAAAATGTTTCTGAAGGACTTTTTGTTTAAAATATCGTGAATTTATTCAAAACTAACTTTAAGAGGTCATACATTTACTAATCCTTTAAAGCGATAATTCACACCGATGTATAGCAATCATCCTCACTTGTTCTTTTGCCGACAAAATCAAGAAAATTGGTTGATAGGTGAGCGAGCAATGAACTCATCCATGCATGAAAGTGGTTCAGGGAAAGATGCATTTCAAAATTTTAATTCTCATAGAAACCAATGGTAAACTAATATTAAAAACATATTCATCCTTTTAACCTGGTTAGACAGTCAAAATTGGTTTATTGTTTAGCATATTTAGAAAAGATTGACATTGAAAAATGTTGCCACCTAAGTGATGTCACGATGTGGTCACTTAGGTTGAAAATATTTTCGATATGCTAAATCATTAAATTGGCACATTAGATATAACATTTTATTTTTAACATGGTGTGTCCGTTATATATTGGTGTTAAAAAGATATAGAGGTTCTTATATGAGTACCTGTGCAAGATCGTCCATTCTTGATGAGATTTAATAATTCCTCTTTATCGAGTCGCAGACGAGATAAAGAAACATTATCAAAGCGACTGTCGGATAAATTATGAATGTAGTTTCGCACAGGTGTCAACGGAACCAAACAGTGAACCCCGCTTTCCCGAACCCGAGTTTCCAGAATTCGCCTCGCATGCCTTCGACTCTTTAACAAGATTTGGGCCCTAATTTTCTCAAAATATATTGTACCCCGACATTATCATCCTGGTGTCTCGTTTATAGCACCCTTGTAATTACAATGCGAAGTTACTTAAGCATGATAAAAAGTGTATGTGTGGATGGGGGGAGGAGGTTTGACCCCCACTTACCAAAAGCTGGGACATGTATACCTTTATATACTCAACCGGCCAAGTATTAACAGTACAAAAGGGAGAAAAAATCCACCAGGTCCATAATTCTACACGTTCACGTACAAGTTTAAAAAAGTGTATCTTACATTTATGTAGAACTACGCCTTTGTACAAGCGACGCATTTTCACAGGTGCGTCTTTACAATGAAACACAATAACGAGAATTGCAACTTTAGGATCTTGAAAAAAGTTGCAATATTCTTCCTGGTTAGAAAAGGTTTCCACGTACAACTAGAAACACTATATAAAAGAAGTATCTATACACCATCAATGCAAATATATGCTTTCTTCCATTCTGATACTCATGGCATCTTTCTGTTTCACCTGAAACACAGGGCTGAGAAGAAATGAGATGTCATGGCTTATCATGATGGCTTTCTTCGAGAATACATAATGCGGGCCCGGGAATGCGGGGTGCCACATTCATTGCAACACACCTTGCAACAATGTCTTATATGAGGGTAATTTCTTATATTGAGAAGTTTATCATCTATTGAAATTAAATACTTGTAGCTACAAAAAGCGAATTTGTTTGAGCAGTCCTAGCTCGACATATTGAAAACAATATTTACAACATGGTATTCTTAGTAGACTGTTCAATTTGGAATTTCGAAGTAGCCAAACATCAGCTTTCTAACAAAAATCATCATTAAAGGATTTTATCAAAGTCTTCCATGCAAATGAAGGTGTGAATTCACATTAACAAATTAAGATTAGATCCACAATATGTTATCAAATGGTTAAATGCGCAAAATGTGTAGATATGTTTTCCTTAATAATGTGTGAGGAGGCCTTTCAGGCAATTTTCGAAAACGTAGTGAGAACAAGTTTGGTGTAGAGGGGAGGGGGATATCTCCCACCTCGGTCTCTCTCTAATGCCTTGGCCACATATGCGCCGGGCGCCGGCCGATGATTAGTCATCGGCCGATTTCTAAATCAATTTCGACAATAATTATCTAATTCGGCAATTTTAGTTACAAAACATGAAGGTACATTATGTAAAATTTTGAAGACAATTGGTGCATATTTAACAAAATACCGGCACCAGTCCTGTTACTTTTGGAACACCCTGTATGTCACCATTTCTGGCAATGTCTGGAGGCGGTAAAAACTAAAATGAATCTGATATACACATAATCACAAGTGAATCATCTATTAATACATCACTCTCATTTTAATAATGACAATTCTAGATTTTGATTTCTATTAAAAGTGTTCAATTCAACGGGTGCATTTGGATTTGTGAAATGCAACCTGTGTAAGGGTAAGTTATCTTATAAAAGGTAAATGACATTTTATATAAGTTGCCCTAGTCATTCCACAGTTCCAGGTGTTATTTTGTGGAGCCCATGTCTTGTCACATCACACGTGGAAATGACTTTGACAAACCTTGGACATCTTTCTTTCAGTCCATGGACTCTAAAATAACAAGAATTTGCATTGTCGGGAGCGTAAAATTGGTTATTTTGAATGCCGCCTCTTGTATTTTTCATCTGCCCCTTGTACACAAAGTTACTGAAACCACTGCATAGTATACAAAGTTGATGTAAACATAAAGTAACCTAGAGCTGGGGTCAACTAATTATGGGTCTCCAAGGGTCAGAGCAGCCGAAAGGGGTCTCAAAGCGCCAAATACCTAGATATTGACCTTTGACCTTGGGATAATTTTTACCTTTGAACGTTGACCTTGACCTCAGGTCACCTAGTCTTGGCTCGCCAAGGGTTACAACAGCCCCACAATTCTTTAAAACGCAAATTGATATTGACCTTTGACCTTAACCTCTGACCTTCGTAGAATAACCCTTGAGGCACATAGAAGGTTGACCAGTTACGATAACCCAAGAGTGAATAATTTAGGAGGAGATGTCCGGCCAGACAGGGAAACTTGAATGAAAGTCATTCACTATGCGAAATTAAGTTAAAAAAATACAGAGTGGCCGGAAAAAAAGAGACCATTGAAGTAGGCAACATCTACTGAACTAGACAAGTGACATCAATGATAATTTGCACACACCAGAACGATTCTATAAAATTTGTTCCTGAAAGTTTCAATATAACCAGTCAACTATTTCAGGAACTGTGATCATTTACATTACATGCTCCAAATTGCCGCAGTTGAGCAAAAGGCAGAGCTCGATTCATATGGCAAAATTATATATTGAAACCTCTCAGGAACAAATGTCCATAGAACTGTACTGGTGCGGGCAAAATTCATTTGATGTCACTTGTTTAGTCAAGGAGATATTGCCTACTTCAATGGTCACTCTTTTTCCGGTCACCCTGTATGTGGATGAAACTGCAGTGACTTGTACCCTGTGTTTTATTGGTGATAACCTGAGTTGAAACGGGATTTGTAAGGCAAATTTTCAAGTTAACAATGAACAAACCTTATTTGATGTGATTCTGCTATTTGAATGCGTTACATCAAGTAGATGTATGTATTAATTGCCTTGTTCCAAACTTACCAAGTATGGGACGTCTACTTGGTGGAGGTGGTGCTGTCGTGGTTACAGCAACTGGATTTGTTGTAGTTGCAGCTGTTTCTTCCGTGGTTGTTAGCGTAGCTGCTTCTTCGGTACTTGGTATTGTGGCTGCTTCTTCGGTATTTGTTATAGTGGCTGCTTCTTTGGTACTTGGTATTGTGGCTGCTTCTTTGGTGGTTGTTAATGTGGCTGCTTCTTTCGTATTTGTTATCGTAGCTGCTTCTTTGGTACTTGGTATTGTGGCTGCTTCTTTGGTGGTTGTTATTGTGGCTGCTTCTTTGGTACTTGGTATTGTGGCTGTTTCTTTAGTGGTTGTTATAGTGGCTGCTTCTTTGGTACTTGGTATTGTGGCTGCTTCTTTGGTGGTTGTTAATGTGGCTGCTTCTTTGGTACTTGGTATTGTGGCTGCTTCTTTGGTGGTTGTTATTGTGGCTGCTTCTTTGGTACTTGGTATTGTGGCTGCTTCTTTGGTGGTTGTTATTGTGGCTGCTTCTTTGGTACTTGGTATTGTGGCTGCTTCTTTGGTGGTTGTTAATGTGGCTGCTTCTTTGGTACTTGGTATTGTGGCTGCTTCTTTGGTGGTTGTTAATGTGGCTGCTTCTTTGGTATTTGTTATCGTAGCTGCTTCTTTGGTACTTGGTATTGTGGCTGCTTCTTTGGTGGTTGTTAATGTGGCTGCTTCTTTGGTATTTGTTATCGTAGCTGCTTCTTTGGTACTTGGTATTGTGGCTGCTTCTTTGGTGGTTGTTATAGTGGCTGCTTCTTTGGTACTTGGTATTGTGGCTGCTTCTTTGGTGGTTGTTATAGTGGCTCCTTCCTTCGTGCTTGTTATTTTGGCTGCTTCTTTGGTAGTTGATATAGTAGCTGCTTCTTTGGTAGTTGTTAATGTGGCTGCTTCTTTGGTATTTGTTATCGTAACTGCTTCTTTGGTACTTGGTATTGTGGCTGCTTCTTTGGTGGTTGTTAATGTGGCTGCTTCTTTGGTACTTGGTATTGTGGCTGCTTCTTTGGTGGTTGTTAATGTGGCTGCTTCTTTGGTATTTGTTATCGTAGCTGCTTCTTTGGTACTTGGTATTGTGGCTGCTTCTTTGGTGGTTGTTAATGTGGCTGCTTCTTTGGTACTTGGTATTGTGGCTGCTTCTTTGGTGGTTGTTAATGTGGCTGCTTCTTTGGTATTTGTTATCGTAGCTGCTTCTTTGGTTCTTGCTATTGTGGCTGCTTCTTTGGTGGTTGTTAATGTGGCTGCTTCTTTGGTATTTGTTATCGTAGCTGCTTCTTTGGTACTTGGTATTGTGGCTGCTTCTTTGGTGGTTGTTAATGTGGCTGCTTCTTTGGTGGTTGTTATTGTGGTTGCTTCTTTGGTACTTGGTATTGTGGCTGCTTCTTTGGTGGTTGTTAATGTGGCTGCTTCTTTGGTATTTGTTATCGTAGCTGCTTCTTTGGTACTTGGTATTTTGGCTGCTTCTTTGGTGGTTGTTAATGTGGCTGCTTCTTTGGTGGTTGTTATTGTGGCTGCTTCTTTGGTACTTGGTATTGTGGCTGCTTCTTTGGTGGTTGTTAATGTGGCTGCTTCTTTGGTGGTTGTTATTGTGGCTGCTTCTTTGGTATTTGTTATCGTAGCTGCTTCTTCGGTTGTTGTTATTTTGGCTACTTCCTCAGTAGTTGTTAATGTGGCTGCTTCTTCAGTAGTTTCCATTGTGGCTGCATCTTCGGTGTTTTTTATTGTGTCTGTTTTTTCGGTACTTGTTATTGTGGCTGCTTCTTCCATGATTGCTTTTATGACTGCTTCTTCGTTGGTTGTTATTTTGACTGATTCTTCCTTGGTTATTATATCGGCTGTTGAAGTTATCACAGCAAGGAAGCAAAGCAATGGCACTAAAAAGGATCCAGGGCAAAACCGAAATGTAATAATTTACTTTTTGCACAAATAACCTTTCGACTCATCTTTTCGACTTTTGTCTCACCAATTGTCTTTATAAAGGAATAAATAAGAATAAATAGAGTCATACGTGTAATAATCCTATGGATTTCTAATCTAATTGGGATGTGTCTATTTTGAGTTGGAATTCACATAACGTATGTTCAATTTTTGATAGAGAGACATTGACCCCTGTTACACAGGCCAGTTGAAATGCTTCGTTACGAAGCAATTTGACAAAAAGCTTCGTAACGAAGCAATTTTGGGCCAGTGGTACCTGTTACACTGCTGGGTTGAGTCTAACGAAGCATTTTTGTAACGAAGGTTAGAGAAAAAATTCTGTCCACACTGGCTTTATCCAACCCTAACGAAGCAATTATTTGGTGTTACACTGCACTTAAAATGCTTCGTTGCGCGTGCGCATTACTCATTTGCCCCACCCACTTATTATGATTAATATTTTATTCTTTTGATATAAACCATTGATCAAATTCAAAAATCTAATTTTGAATCTTTATTTTAACAATTCAGCACAGAAAAAGACTAGTTCAAAATTCTCGGGAAAATAAAACCAGATGAATGTGATCATTCCGTACACATGTCCATACATTTTTCCTATCCTTTCGATTTTTATATATTTCAGCTGTCAATACGATTACAAGCATTGTTTTCATTTTCTATCATTTCCTTTGGAAAACATATGGAATAAAAATAGGCCTATGTTAATTACTAGGAGGAATTGGATTTGGGGTTTATACAGATGACTAGTACATGTATGTAATATCGTATAAAAACGTTCAATTTCCAAATGGACTTCTCAGTTATATTTCAAATAGTACAGTGTAGCCATTACTAAAATATCTCGGTGTTCGGCTGGTGGTTTAAATACTATTTCATGTCCAATTCATTTTAATATGAATATTACCCGTCTCGCCAATATTCCATGCATATTTGATTTGACATAAATTAGTATGTTAATCCATCAGCCGTCCGTTGAATTCGTAAATGGCGCAAATAGGAAGAAACTTGAATATCAGTTGTAAGCATCGTCTTACGACACATCAATAGTGTTTGGGGCTGGCCTAAAACATGCAGCCTCTCTGTGGCAAATATCTGTCGACAAGAAACAATTTTGGCCACCTTTCCTTGTCCGCAGGTTTTATCGTATTTGTATACGGAAGTTTTGAAACGTAATTAATTCAATATATTTAAACATGAAGTTTAAATTCAATTACAATTTAATATCGTCGAAGAATAAAATAATGGAACGACTAGTACAAGTATTGCAATGGGGTGATAGCCAGTTGAATACGATTTCTGAAGAGAGACATTTTCGAATCAATCAAATCGGCTAAATTCTCTGATATGATTCACATGGAAGCAATTGTATCAGTATCATGGTATCAACACCTTTAGAATTACATTCAAGGTACAATTATTCGAGGCGCAAGAAAAAATTAATATTAAACATGTATGCCACAACTTTCTATTTCTAGGTTTATTCTCTAATAGATCAGATAAACGTTTCAAAACTACCGTATACATATACGGTAAAACCTGCGTTTTTAGATTTAATACTTTTTGTCATATCAATGCAAGGAAAGGCAGGGAATCGAATGAAATGCTACGAAAGACGGTAAATCACATTTGTACGTGGCGTTTAGGGCTTGAGTTAGCGTCAATCAGTGACGCAAATAGGTAATTATTTTAATCAAAACGTAGCATTATAATAATACGTACTTAAAAACATGTTCTTTCCTCGCGATTCCTCTCATTTAGTACAAAATGATGAATGTGCTCTTTATTACGCGCATGCGCAAACCGCCAACTAAGCATTTTCTAACGAAGCTACCTGTTACACTGGCCAAAAAAGCTTCGTTGGGACCTAACCTTCGTTGAATTTTATAATCAATTGCTTCGTTATCAACTAAGCTTTTCTAACGAAGGCGGAGGTGTTACACTGGCCAAAAATTGCTTCGTTACGTAGCTTTCTTGTCAAATTGCTTCGTAACGAAGCATTTCAACTGGCCTGTGTAACAGGGGTCAGTGTTACACCTCCGCCTTCGTTAGAAAAGCTTAGTTGATAACGAAGCAATTGAGTAGAAAATTCAACGAAGGTTAGGTCCCAACGAAGCTTTTTTGGCCTGTGTAACAGGTAGCTTCGTTAGAAAATGCTTAGTTGGCGGTTTGCGCATGCGCGTAATAAAGAGCACATTCATCATTTTGTACTAAATGAGAGGAATCGCGAGGAAAGAACATGTTTTTAAGTACGTATTATTATAATGCTACGTTTTGATTAAAATAATTACCTATTTGCGTCACTGATTGACGCTAACTCAAGCCCTAAACGCCACGTACAAATGTGATTTACCGTCTTTCGTGGCATTTCATTCGATTCCCTGCCTTTCCTCGCATTGATATGACAAAAATTATTAAATCTAAAACACGCAGGTTTTACCGTAAATGTATATTTGAAACGTTTATCTGATCTATAAGGGAATAAACCTAGAATATTTAAATGTCCCTCTTTCCGGGAAAACTCCGTCTCATGTGTGGAAGGGTAAACTTTTGAAATTACATAAGATATGCTTAGTGAATAGAAATTGATTGATTCGAAAACGTCTCTCTTCAGAAATCGTATTCAACTGATTATCGCCCCATTGCAATACTTGTACTAGTCGTTCTATTATTTCATTCGTCGACGATTTTAAAATGTAATTGAATTTAAACTTCATGTTTAAATATATTGAATTAATTACGTTTCAAAACTTCCGTATACAAATACAGTAATACCTGCGGACAAGGGACGGTGGCCAAAATTGTTTCTTGTCGACAGATATTTGCCACAGAGAGGCTGCATGTTTTAGGCCAGCCCCAAACACTATTGATGTGTCGTAAGACGATGCGTACAACTGATATTTAAGTTTCTTCCATTTTGCGCCATTTTCGAATTCAACGGACGGCTGATGGATTAACATACTAATTTATGTCAAACTCACTCAAATATGCATGGAATATTGGCGAGACGGGTAATATTCATATTAAAATGAATTGATCATGAAATAGTAGTTAAACCACCAGCCGAACACCGAGATATTTTAGTAATGGCTACACTATTTGAAATATAACTGAGAAGTCCATTTGGAAATTGAACGTTTTTATACGATATTACAGACTAGTCCTCTGCATAAACCCCAAATCCAATTCCTCCTAGTAATTAACATAGGCCTATTTTTATTCCATATGTTTTCCAAAGGAAATGATAGAAAATGAAAACAATACTTGTAATCGTATTGACAGCTGCAATATATAAAAATCGAAATGATGGGAAAAAATGTATGGACATGTGTACGGAATGATCACATTCATCTGGTTTTATTTTCCAGAGAATTTTGAACTAGTCTTTTTCTGTGCTGAATTGTTAAAATAAACATTAAAAATTAGATTTTTGAGTTTGATCAATGGTTTATATCAAAAGAATAAAAATATTAATTATAATAAGTGGGTGGGGCAGATGAGTACTGCACACGCGCAACGAACCATTTTAAGTGCAGTGTAACACCAAATTATTGCTTCGTTAGGGTTGGATAAAGCCAGTGTGGACACAATTTTTTCGCTAACCTTCGTTACAAAAATGCTTCGTTAGACTCAACCCAGCAGTGTAACAGGTACCATTAAAGATAGAGAGTGTGTGTTGAAAATTTCCCACTCGACACAACGTGATATAAAAGAGCATCACTTTCCCTTTAAATTCATCATCGATGACTATAAAGAAAAAAGGTTGTCTTACCAATATAATAACAAGACGATCTTGCCATGTTGTGGTATTCTGTGTTTTCTTAATATCTGAAATTCCATATTTTACAATTTATACAACTACATTACAACAATTGGTGATCAAATTCATTTGATGTACTCAATTAGGCAGCAACATATTGCAGATGATTAATAAGGTCACACAATACCTTGTGAGTGAGTACGCTTTCTGAATTGTATTGTTGGCTTGCAATTACTCTTAATGATTATAGTCCATCTCTATCGCATATAAATTGTCCATGAATATGTGTTAATATGCTTATGCATACACTGGATTTTTAGTTTTGTTACTCCAATCAATGCTTATTGAAATTCTTAGAGATAACCCACATGATAAGGGGAGCGTCGGTAAAACTTTGAATTTAAATGGTCTATACATAATACCCATTGTCTCTGATCAACGAAATATGATATAGGTTTGATTACAACTTCCTTTTGATAACGTAAACGTATTTCAAAGAACTTGACTTTTTAGATTCTGAACATTGAAGGCAAAGGTTATCTTAGTAACGTAGACTCGTGATATCTCAAGATATTGTTGATTTAAAAAAACAGAATACTCTTGGAACACTTTACAAACGTATACGATGAGGTTAAAAAATATATACTGTATATGTTACTTTTGCACGCCAAAGAAATGAAAGTTCATTAACTCATCAACTTCACTGATTAAACCGGAGGTACCCATAATATGATAGCGTATAGAGCGTGTTAACATTAATATTGATGCATTTATTGAAATCGCCAAGCACGACATAACACTCGAAAAATTTAATCAACACTCTTCAAACAAATCTTTGTTAAAGACATTTGCCAATTCTAACAAAAATAAAGTTCTTCGAGGTAGGCCTAGAGATAGTTAATCGGTATTGCTGGTCGAGTAAACAAAAACTAAATCAGAATATGTGAAAGTTGTCAGTTTGTTTTTCGTTACTTCTGTGCTCATTTTATATCAAAGATAGAAAGTGCATCTCAGGATTGTATATCATAAATATTCAAAAGTGACAAGGGGAACGGACTTTAAACATAATTTAAACAGTCATGAAGAAAACGCAAACTTGCTATCCAAAACCATATTCTCACGTGAAAAGAAACAATTTGTAACACCCCCTCCCCCGGCATCCAAATACCA